GTTTTTTTTACATTTTAATATTTTTCGATTTAAAAGCAGATCTATTGGGTATTAAATTATCTGATCAACGAGGTATGGCAATCTATATTTGGACCACGTTATGGACAAAATACTTTCATTTTGGGGGAAAAATCGGGACTAAGAATTAAAGTACAAGAAGAATTAAAGTCCGGACCATTATTGGCCTCTTTATCAGCATAATGCTGTGACTCTAAGGGGAAAATCAGGATAAACGGAATTTCACATTTTTGATAAGTGCCCAAATTTGACATTTTAAATTGTGAATGCAGGTATTAGGTATTACATTCCATAATCTGGCCATTATTGGCTTAATTATGGGATAAATTCTGTCATTTTTGGGGGATTAACTGACAAAAAAAGAGTCACCTCTAAATCTTTAAAACAGCTATATTTGTACATATGTCTCTTTATCCTTAGTCGATCCTATTTGTTCGAACGCCACTGTACCCATGTAAGTGGGCGCGTGTAAGCCCTTGAGCCCAAGATCGAAATGGCCAAAAACCACTCAAAAAGGGTAAACAGAGACGGCAAAAACAATGATAAATCGAAAATGATTAAATGCTCATGCGCTGGGCACTCAAAAAACCGTTATGCGCCGCTGCCTCTTTACAAAAAAAAGGGCAAAAAGCCGACTTATGGCAATGAAAATAAATAAACAAATGCAACTGCAACTGGAAATGTTTGTAAACAATGCCGTGAACAAAAAAAGCTCAACAATATCAAACTAAATGTTACTAGGTTAAGTTATTCAATGCACGATTCATTGGGCAAGTCATAACCTATAGAAGATATCGATTATGTTGCTCAATGCACGAATGAGGTGATTTGTCTATACAGCTTAGGACAGGTTCATAGCTCATAAATAGTTTTAATTGACTAACTATAATTTAAAAGTAGACAACTTATGTTCGCTTTTCAGTTTTCGGCCATTAAGTAACTAAATAATAAGATATCTGCCATTAGGTAAGCCGTTCCAAGGAGATATGAGTTATTTCTTGAAATCTAACTTCAGTTTGACTTTACTAATCGGTTGACCGCCACTGTATTTTATATGCAATCGATTAAACTCCGCATAAACAGCTGACGGGGCCGAACCGTTAAGCCTCGTCATCTGGCAATGGCAATGAAAGTGCAACTGCAAGTGCCATTGCATTTGCAACCAAACTGCCGATTGCACAAACACAAAGAATATATATATATGGACATATCTATATAGCCAACCGCTGGCGTGTTTACACAAAATAAACAAATGGCAGTCAACTAAATGACTCCCGTCCCGAGTCAAGTGAAGTCGGGCCAACTCAACCAAGAAGTTGAAAACTATGTAGGCTAAGCAGTGCAGCGGTACGGCTGGGCACTGCACTGCTTGCCATTTGGCCTTAAACTTTGCTGTTCAGGGTCACGTTAATAAATAAAACCAATTGTTAAACATAATGCAATTAGTGTACAAATTCAGACAAACAAAAAATTAATACTTAGCATTAAATTAATTGCTGCGAAATGCATTTTAACTGCGCTCTAAAAATAGCGTGCAGCAAATTATGGGAAAAACACAATAGAAGATGTCAAAGCAAAATACACAAATAATCTAAAATAAACTTAAGTAAAACAAAAGGGACAAACTAAAATAGAGAGAGGCCACGGGGAATTTTGTAAAATTAGTTGCGATTAAAATTACATTTCACAGTAGTGACTGTGAAATTGACAATTTCAGGCAGTTTTAAGGTGTTAAGGTTAATGTTTTACCGTTTACAGTATATTTCACAATTAATGTTGCTGTTAGTTTTTGGATTAAAGAAAATATCATTGCATAATGGGACTTAAAATGCATTTAAGCATTGTTATTAAAAGTAATTACAAAACGTAGTGCTGCAAGGTCGCACTAATCATTTTTAATAAGAATGCTTAAATTCATTTAAATGTACCATTAAACATTGATGATGCAAGGTCAGACTCATAATGTTTAACAATTATGTTGAAATGCATTAGTAGATAAAATTTAGTAGTGTTAATAGCAGTCAAAATTTAAGATTAACTTTAGATTAAGGTTGCAGTGAAACTAAGTTATTAAACTAATAAAAATAGTAATGTATCAAATATAATTAAACTAATGATTATAAAATAATATTTAGGAAGCGGGAATTAAGGTATTACGGTGTTTAAAAAAAACAAAAATAGGACGATTGTCGATTAGGTGACAAAAATAGCTTACGTATGGGCCTGCGGCGCATGCGGGTCTCATTTTTCTCGCCGCCACTGTTGGCGCCGCTACTGTTAATCGACTGCATCTTGCGACTGACACAACAACAAGTGGTAAGTGGTATTTTACCGATTCGATTGGCAAAGCAAATACATATGTAAAAAGAAAGAAAGAGAACCAAAAGAGAAGCAAGAATTTAAATAAAGCAAAACTATCAAAACAAAGATAATACAGTTGGTTTTAAGGCAGCATTACACTTCACTTCCAAGGAACCGATTCGTTAAATAAACAATCACTCATCTTTCCCACTATAATTTGTTAAAAATAATTTATTAACTTCACTGAACTGTTAAGACTTATTTGGTAATGCCTGCTAAGTGTAATACTGCCCTATTAACAAATACGCGGCACTCTACTAACAGCTGGGTGCTCCAAATTCGTAGGTCCACCACTGTGTGCGGTTCAATCGAGTGGAGATAAAAAATAATAATAATAACCGGTTCGCGGCAGCCAAACAAAAAAAGATATTTCACATGCACCACGATTCACGATTCACATTTGGCAAATGTTTCTCGAGCTCTCTTGGTCAGCGAATTCTCTTTGTTTTGTTTGGACCGATGCTTCTTTTCTATTCTTTACCTTTCTCCCTTTTTTCAGCAAAGACGCGACGAGCTAAAATGTTCGAAGGCAACTAAAAGCAGCAAACGGAAATTCTTTGCCGCCGACCGGCAAACAATCGCATCAGACAAAAAAAAAAAAATAAAGCAGAGAGAAGAAGGAAACTTTCTAGATGTTCCCAATTTCGGTAACTCATGAAATTAGGGTTACCAAATATTAAATCATGAAATATTATACAAATGTTGTAACTGTAGTTATGCTAAATATGTATTGTAATTTCCTAAGTCCTACTTGTTTTGGCTTACATTATCCTACCGAACCATTTATGCACACGTTAAAAAAAAATGAGATATTATAAAAATGAATAGATTTTTCGAAAACGGGAACACTAATTTTTATCACATAACGGGTTAAGCCGTGGTTGAGCGACACATGTCAAGACCCGCGAGCAAGGGAGATGGGACTAATGGAGCACTTATCTGGAAGCCCGGCGACTCCAGTTGAAGAGCACATTTTATTTCAGCGATAAGATAGACGCGAGAACAGGATAGTTGTATAAGCGGTGTATTGATAAGGCCACTGACGATATATTGGCCGAAATTAATCAATTAATTGTTGGCAAAAAAAAACGAGGCAAAGTTCGAAGGTCAGCAGACTACTTTGCGAAAGTGTTCGTGACATTGACCTCGACCACCTTACAAACAAATATCACCAAAAAAAAAGTTAAAACCATTTTTATGTCACTAGCAATTTGACCCAGTTAATCGAAAATCGTGGAAGTCAAAGACAGGAATCACAAAAAATTTCATTCAGCCATGTGTGAGAAAGAGAGGTGGAGCAAACAAAGCGAGATAGAGAAGGGGCGGCAGGCGTTCAACAAACTTGATTAACTGTTTATCGATTTGCCATCCCATTCGCACAAACACGTGCTTTGTTTGTCGCTCCTATTGATTTTTACGGCAGTGCATGAAAATCAAATAACTGCACACTCTCCTTCTCCCTTTTTAGGCAGTTTTTCCAATTTCATAACGTTGCTTGCGTGTAAGTCTGTGTATATTTCAGCCCACGTGTTGTTGTTTTTGGTAATGATTGCGATTTTTATATTAATTTTGGTTTTTGTTATTATTTGTCGGTGGAAGGAGGAAAAACACAAGAAAATGGCGTAAAGTTGATGAAACACCGAGAGAGAACAGAAATCAAAGTCGTTGCGTTTTTGCACACTCGCAAGATAACCAAATAACGACATTTACTAACAATAAACAAAAAGTGAACTTAACACGAGAAAAAAACAAGAAAACGGTAGACACACACACTCACACACTCACATCTCTTCCAGACAACTTTTGTCGCGGTAACAGCGCGAACTGGAAGTTTACTCCTGGCTTCATTGACTCGCAATTTCGAACTGAGACGAACCGCCACAGGCAAGAACAACAACGCGTCGCGAGGAAAGCGGCATTTTCCACCCTCTAAACTGCAGGCCAACAACAACAAGGAAAGAGCTGCCGTTGAAACCTGGTCTAGCGCTTTTAGGGATGACAAGGAACAGATGATGTGACTATCGGGGTCATCGATAGGGAACGATAACAGTACTATTCTAGCCGCTAAATTAAAAATACATTTTAAACTTTGACAAGTTTGCATGCTTGATTTTATTATTTAAAAAAAGGCTTAACACGAGAAAAAATCTTAATCTTGTATAGTATTTTATTTTACAAGCCCTACCTTAATATAAGCCCCTCTTGCCCACTTGTTTCATACATCATTTAATATCGCATATGTAACATTTACATACTTATTTTTTCATGAAATATTAAAAGGAATCTATTACATATTTATTTAATCAATAAAAACATATTGCAAGAATAAAATGTTTGGACTTACAATTTTGCAGATCAAATATATATATGTTATTATTACTATATTACGTTTTGCTTTCATACATCATTTATTATCGCACAACATCTCAAAAGGAGTCATTTACATATTTACCCGTACCTATTAACATATTTGTCTCATAATATATTAAAAGGAATCTATTACATATTTATTTAATCAAAATGAACATATTTTAGGAATAAAATATTTGGACTTGAAAATTTGCAGATAAAATAAATATGTAATTATCATAAAATAAATATGTTATGTATTATAAAATAAATATTAAATAAATAAACAGTTCGTTTAAAAATAATCATTAATGCATCGCGAAAAAGTCCTGCACTAGACTTTTGCACATATCTATTGCTCCATTCACTTTGCGGTATCCTTCCAACCACTGGAAATGTCTCGTCACACTCCCACATCACAAGCGTACGGGATTTTAACTGGAAGGCAAGATCATTGCCTTGCGTCATTTCTTCGTGTAACGGTGCTGATTGCGGGTGCCAAAGTTTTATTGTTAATTATTTATACAAAAAAGTGTTTAAAAGGAAACCAGAACACAGTGATGATCGTTTCGGTTTTTATTAATTTAATAGTAGTGCATATTTTTAATATTGTGTTGTTTATTTTAATTCTCGGAAAATGATACTTGTCGGTTTAATAATTGAACAAATCTGTGTTATTTAATACATTTAAAAACAAATATTCCATTATTTGTGTCTTTTTAGAACTATGCTTTTTCTTTTGGTTTTTTCTTCGTTAGCATTACACGCCGCCATCTTGAATTGTTGGTTGCTTTCATCTCCCACTGATCTTCGCTGGAACGAAGACGGCGAAAAATAAGATTACCGAGAATTAACACAAATACTACAAAAATCTAGAGTTAAACTTGTTAATAGTGAATTTCAATTCAAGTATTCAGATCTAATTCTTAAATTAAGATGGACTTCGGACTTTCGTGTAAAAATAAGCAATAAGAAATTCGTAATGCATAATGTTCGATGTTAGGTGCCCCTCTCCTGACCTTGAAGTGTATAACAATATCCGTTAATTATGAAAAATGGTTAACTTTAATTGTAGTTAAAATTATTGCAGAGGAATCGCCATGGACATGCAATCGCAGCGCCCCATAACGTCCGGCAGTAGGCAGGCTCCGGATCCGTACGACCAGTACTTGGAAAGCCGCGGACTCTATCGGAAACATACGGCCCGGGACGCCTCCAGTTTATTCCGGGTGATCGCCGAGCAGATGTATGATACCCAGATGCTGCACTACGAGATTCGTTTGGAGTGTGTCCGCTTCATGACCTTAAAACGACGCATATTCGAAAAGGTAAAGATTTTGATACCGCACCTTTACTATTTATTTAATAGTTCTGTTATAATTTATGAATTCTGTATTCTTTAGGACATTCCCGGTGATTTCGATAGTTATATGCAGGACATGTCCAAGCCAAAGACTTATGGAACTATGACAGAGCTACGCGCTATGTCTTACTTGTATCAGTAAGTGGCTATATTGCTCCTTTTTACCATTAAGCTATATGATCCTAACAATTCCCTTTATTACCAAATACATTTTAGTCGCAATGTGATCCTGTATGAGCCCTATAACATGGGAACCAGCGTCATTTTCAATCGTCGCTATCCGGAAAACTTTCGGGTCTTCTTTAACAACGAGAATCACTTCGATTCTGTCTATAAAGTGGAGTATATCGAAAACGCCGCCATTTGTCAATGTAGGTAACCTATAATAAATATAAAACTTATAAAGTTTATAAGGTTCTATTTGTACATTTCCAGCGATCGCCTTTAAGTTGCTGTACCAAAAGCTGTTCAAGCTGCCAGACGTATCATTTGCTGTGGAGATTATGTTACATCCGCACTCTTTCAATTGGGATAGATACGATGTGCAGTTCGATGACAAGGGCTATATGGTTCGAATTCAATGCTCCGACGGTCGAGTTTTTACGCTTGATCTGCCAGTTAAAACCAACTGCATATTGGAGAACTATATGCTGTGCAATTTTCACAACGGCAGTGCGAATCAGATTTATAATAGTCGAAAGGGAGGACGGCGGGAATTGAAGCAACAGGAGCAGGATCGAAAACAGACTGGCCACGAATCGAATGACCAGATGCCTATGTGTCCTAACCGATTGGAGTCATGTGTGCGTCAGCTTTTGGATTATGGTGAGTAAAATAGATTTAAGAAACCTTGAACCTGTAATACATATTTATAAATCTATTTGTTTGGAACTTAATTATTACATTTTGTTTTGATTTTCAGGCATTACACCGTTCCCTTACAAGGTGGCCAAGTCCATGGACCCCTTCATGTATCGAAATATAGAGTTTGATAGTTGGAACGATATGCGAAAGGAGGCCAAGCGCTATAATGTCTATGTCAATGACTATAACTTTAAGGTAAATTCGTGAGGAATCAGAATCATTGTTCATCACGTATACTCATGTTTCATGTGTCCAAATTATGTCACTTTACACACTTTTATTTCCATCTTCAATACTCGACAAACTTTACACTTTGTTATATGTCCAGCTTTGCTTTATCTTTGTTCGTCTGGTTGTCGCGTTGCTTTTCAGGTGGGCGCCAAGTGCAAGGTGGAGTTGGAGAACCAATTGGAGATGTCTACGTGTCACATTCAAAACATCTCCAAAGACAGGACCCACAGCGTCGTCTTTGTGGAGGCGATTGGCAAAAAGCTATGGGTACCACATTTCTTATATGTATTTGTAGGCTCTTGCAGAGTAATTATGATTTAAAGGTTAATAGTAATTATCTAAGTTTTGTAAACAAGGGTCAGCCATAAGTTTGATGTAATACTTTTATATTTCCGATCACGCTTTTGAACCTTTATTTTATGCAGAAAAGAATCTTTAATTGAAAAATCTTTAAAAATTGTTGCTCTGCAAGTGTGCGTTCAGTTTCGGTATCCGAAGCTTTTCTTTCTTTGTGTAAAATCAATTAATTAGAAAACAGCTTACTTAAATGGAAATTTTTTGTTGGCTTAGGTTCCCTACGAATCGCTGCATCCCCTGCCGCCTGAAGAGTACCGTCCTTGGTCATTGCCACTCCGCTATCAGCGCCATATAAATCGCATGCCGATGCCCAAGTTTACCGGAAAGGCAAACAAGACTTCCAAATGGAAGAAGAATAAGGTGTTCGAAATGGGTCAGTACTTTGAGCCCAGCAAATGTGATTTGATGCCGATCCAGGGCTATATTCCCTTGGAGAATTGCTATCAGGAGGTTCACCATCAAGAGGATGAACACCGCGAACACAAAGATCCTGATCAGAATGACCAAAATCCGGTTGCGGAGCAACGGGATCGTGAGGAGTCCCAGAAGCCCGAGCAGCAGCAGCGTCCGAAGGCACCAAGGGTTCAACGGCAGAGCTCCAATTCTAGCCAAAACCAGGAGATTCCGGTTTCTACTGCCCCACCCCCTCCACAATATATGAACTATTTGCCTCTGTTGGGAGGCCGTCCTGGTCAGGTTCCACCTCCTTGGCCTACGTCTCCGCTGGCTATTTCCGAGGAATTTCAATATCCCATGGGTGGACCACCGCAACCTCCGCCAGCCGAAGGCTGTGTTTACATGCCATTTAGCGGTTATGGCCCACCACCACCTGGAACTCTAGCCCTGCCGGGGCCGCATTCATTCTTGCCGCTTCCACAACCTCCGCTGAATACTCCTGGTGTGGGCGAGCCCCGTCGTTCCCTTCATCTGAATGGCGAGGATTTGCCAGTGGATATGATCACTTTAAGATACTTCTACAACATGGGCGTTGATATGCATTGGCGCATGGCGCACCAAACACCGCCTGAGGATCATGCGACATTCGCTTATACTCAACTGAACAACACGGACCAACAGCAAGGAAGGAGTGGCCCCGGAGACGACCATTTGGCTGCCGGATCCACGCCACCACCTTCGCCAGAATCGGGAAATGCCCCGGAGCAGCCACCGCTGGAAAAAGCCAACTACACCAAGCGTAATTTGAATGTGGGAAAAATCCGCGTTAAACGTCCGGAGCAGCTACAAGATCTTAAGGATCCACTGGGACCAGCGGCCTTTTTGCCCACGCCCACGCCCTCCCCGAGTTCGAATGGCAATCATTTTAGTTACTACACTACGCCACCACCACATCCCCTAATGTCGCCGCCAAGGCTGCTCCAACCGCCGCCGCCACCGATTTTCTTCCACAAGGCGGGACCGCCACAGTTGCCAGTGTCATCTCCAGGACAGGTAATTCTAACTATTTGAGCTTATCTGACTAAAATATTTTCAATTTATTGGATTTTGAACATATAAACTTTCTATTGATACCCACAGTATATAACAGCTTACAAACATCTTCTTCTCTTAAACTCTTAGAAAATAAGTTATTGTTTATTTTTAGTTACTCAGTTCGTAACTTTCAGAATCACTATGCCTGGGGAATGGCAGCTCCAGTGGTTGGCCCATATGAGGTGATCACCAACAACTATAATATGGAGTCGCCGGCACAGCCACAGCCACAGACGCCACAACAGCAGCAGACATCGGCTTTGCCAACAGCTCCCGTGCCCACCCAATCCCAGCCAGCAGCTGTCTATGCTGCACCGCGTCATCACTAAAACGAGGGGGGGAAACAGAACTACAGATCACTTCGAAGAGAGAGGCCAATTCCCATTTGATTGCGTTTAATTCCATTTCCAATGACTTTTAAAATTTAATCTAACTTTTAAATTTGTAGTCAACCTTTTATAGGCCACCTGTTCGTCGATGGTGCTCTTTCATTAATCATTATTCAACTTCTGTTCACAACAATCGATTGCATAATTCAGCGCAACTGTCAATTTAACTTCATTTTAAACTTGTAACTTAACGTAATTTTATGCGATTTTTTTAAAGTTAGCAAAGGTAGCCGGCATAAAAACAACGAACCACGTATTTATATGATTTATTTAAAAAAAAAAAACTAAACAAACAAAAAACCCTTCCAACTAAAACACTATATAATCTTACATATATATTTATATACTTGCTGATCGGCTAGAGACTCACCTATGTAAAGTGTTCAAGAAAATTAACCATAAATAAAACAAGATTCGAGAGTAACGCAAAAGACAAAATGTACAAAGACTTAAGCAGAGTGCTGCTAATACGTGGTCTTCTCGTGTTTCACCGCGATGTCAGATAGTAAACGTTAAAAGTGTGGATTACTTTGATTCACCTCATAAGCGTGATCTAAAGATGGTCTTATATGAGATATATAACTCTGATTAAGTCCTTTAAATACTACTTTGAGAACGTCCTTAGGAGTCAATCGAGATTTTTAATTTTTAAAGTAACTTTATTTCTGGTGTACAGTTTTTACTTTTAATTCATTGTTTCATATTTAATCATACATATAGACACCCACAACAAAGTTTTAGTTTTTAATATTAAACAAAAAAAAAAATAGGTAAAGAATAATATCAGAAATCATAGAACTTCATAGGGCTCTATGGACAATATTTCTATGCATATTATAATTATTAAAAAAAAAAACAGTGGTTTAGTTAAATAAATTTAAGTTGTATAGTTAAGGAACATATTTTTTAAAACTAACCCAAGTTAAAACCATCAAGAATGCTGAAGATCAGCTGAGTTAAGGAGTGCAAAGCCTCCATACTAGCTTCCGTTGTCCGTTTATAGGTGGGCTAATCGAAAGAAATGCAAGGAAAAGGTATTGTTAAAACTAAAAACTAACATAAGAAATAGTTAAAATTGTACTAAAACATTTATTATAATCAATAATTGTAAAAAAAAACAGTAACTTGGTATCACAGAAAACTTTCTTTCAACTTGTATCTTATAAATGAATTTCAAAAGTCTAGTTAACGTACCTGTCATTCTTCACGATTCATCAACTAGACAATATATATTTCTGTGACAATTTCGGTTATATGGATTTTCTGTGATACCCTGTTATAAGATGTAATTTTAATTTTAAATTAATTATTTTTTTTAGGCATACTAACTTGTCCGGAACACAAAGCGAGGAATGTGAAACACAGAGTTATCAACAGGAACAACATCTGACTCATTTTGCCTTATTTTTTCTTATAACTTTTTAAGAAGTTTGCAAAAAAAAAAACTTTGAACTTGAAACCGATTTATTTTTGTTGGCTTTATAGTATTTCTGTTTAGTTGGTTAATTTTTATTAATGCTCTCAATTTATTTCTGCTTACAGACTGAAATCGCGATGCAAAAGTATCGCATTTTTATGCTGAATTTTCAAACTGAAAAATGGGCGGCACCGGCGACCTACTTTGCGATTCTACCTGTCATCAACCGATATCTTCTTTACATTACCTACTATTATTATTACTGTTATTGCTGCTCGTTTGTTATTGAACCTTGCGTGGGACTACATTTGATCATGTGAACAATGGGAAGGACAACTAATATGTGTAATGACAGCTAGCACTTCCAATTTGTGATTATATGCGACACTTATCGGATGGAACTATATTGCGGGTGAGTTAGTTCTTTTTATAACTTAATGGGATTTTTTTTTATAAATGTTTATTGATCTATAATTTTAAAGTTTAAAGTTGTATCTCAGTGCTTACCTACCTATAGTTTATAAGTAATTTTAGTAGATATAACTTTCGAGTTCTTTAGAACCGAAAATTGCTTTTAAAATTACCAACTCATCTTATATCTTAAGTTGATCTTAGTGAACCATAACTGAGTTAAAGATATGTTGTATTTCATAAAAATCTTATAGATCTGTATTAATATCGATCTGAAATATCAATACCTTTCAGGGTATATCTGATATGACTATTATAAAGCAGTTAATCCCATAGTTATATGCATCTAAAGATTTACCTCCAGAAAATAACAGATACTTGAGGGTATAATTTTTTGTTTTCAAATTTTTTTATTTGTTTGCAAAGAAACCTGAGTGTCACGCCCCCTTGGCCGTTGAATGGATTGGTGGGTGGTTTTTAGGGGTGCGGATTTGTGTGCATGAGTGGGCGTTGGACAGATCAGGCTGTGCTTTTTTTTTTAAAACATAGTAACTAATCAGCCGGATAAAAGGGTGACTGGACAGCCGCTTCAGGGGTTTGCCGGAGCCGCAGCAGTCACTCAATCCGTGACTTCTCCACAACTTTTAATAAGCTGGAGGAGCATAGCCGCCATGTCCAGCTGGACCAGCGCTATAGTGCTGATGTCCATGGCTGGGTCCGGGACCGTAGGGACCCTCACGTTCGCCAGCGATGTTGGCAAGGGCAGAGAGACCCTGGTTGCCGCTCTGGAGCAGCTGATAGCCAGCACTGGCGGCGGCGGAATCAGCTCCGGAAGCGTAGGCAGGCAGGGCACGACCACCGTCATGGGGTCCAGGACCATGAGGTCCCGATCCGTGTCCACCGTGTCCATGACCACCGTGTCCGTGTCCACCGTGTCCGTGACCACCATGTCCATGTCCATGCGACTGGGCACCCTGTCCGTAACCCTGCTTGTTCTCGTTCACAAAGTATTTCTCTGCTGGTGGCTTGACCACGTTGACGAACACGGGCTCAACCTTGACGCGACGTGGGTGGTGCTTGACGTAGACCTTGCGGAGAACGATTGCTGGGGGCTTGTGGAGCACCACGGGAGCGGGCTTGACAACCAATGGGGGATGGTTGACCAGCACCTTGGTGGGCGGGCGCTTGACAATGATGGGGGCGGGACGATGGATAAGGATCTCTCCCTTGTTCTGCGGGTAGGTGATCGATGAGGTAAGGGTGTTGCCCTTAGTGTTCACCGGTTTGTATGGGATGTTCTGGTCAGAGCCGTAGCTGCTCTGGCCAGCCTGAGCCACACCGGCGGCATCAGCTCCAGATTCCAGAGCACCGGCACCAGCGCCAGCACCACCGTACTCGCCACCAGCTCCACCGGCACCACCGGCAGCAGCTGCGGCCGCTGAAGCGGCATCGGCACCGCCATCGGGGCCAGCGCCATGGCCACCGGCTTCGGGTCCATAGCTCTGGGGACCGCCGTAATTGGCGCTCGCACAGGCCTGAAAAATGACGGGAAAAAATGGGTTAATATGGGAAATAGTTGGAGTATAGACTTGAGATTTGGATCTTGATATTTTTTGAGAACTCTTTTCGAGTAATATATGTAGATTGAAATTTAAGTTACTATAAAGGATGAAGCAACGGTTCAGTTTAAGAGATTCTTCCAAAAATCCTCTCTGAATCGTGAAGTAATCCAAATATTGGGACAACGAAAGAAGACAACTTTCTGGAGTTTTTATAAAAAAACCCTTCTTAAAAAAACAATCCTATAAAGATTTGGAGTGTTAACACTTACGATCAGGCAGGCGGCCAGCGCCCAAATGTAGGTCGATCTCGTCATCTTGTCACCCAGTTGAAGTTCCAGTTGCTTTTCGGCCGCTGGTATGCTCCCACTTGGACTGTCAGCTGTCTTCTGCTGCCCTCCATTGGTGGCCGACTACTTTAAATATGCTCTGGACGCATCTCCGGCTCCGGCTACGTGACATTTGCTTTGATGGCGACTCCGGTGCCGGCTGTTCCGTTCCGGACCCACGCGATCCAAGCGAAACATGGCCAAATGCTGATAGATCGCACGCATCTCGCCGAGCGCGCATATCACGGCGTCTCTTCAGCTTACGTAGAAGCCACACAACCCAAAAACCTCAGTCAGTACCCATTGTATACACGGTACCCATTACCCAATTACAATAACAATAACAACCAGAGTCGGAATCAACAGCCGGGCTTTGAATCTACCGTGCATATCGAGGTCCGAACGTCTGCTCAGATAGCGAAAATAGTTCCGCATTGGCAGACATAAGACCCGGGTAGTCAGAAAGAGACGATCCGAGTGGTTGCTAAATGGATAGGGCAAAAACTGATTTCCGAATGATTTTCATTTTATTATGTGGTTGGTTGGGTTATCTGAAATCGAAATCCTTGTTTCTATAAAGTTTTAAGTTTTTAGGTGTTGTTTATGTTGTAGGTATTGAAAATCCTTTGATTTATAATGGTTTTCTAGAGTGATAAGATAGGAGGTTAGTTGAGAGAACATTTTTCATTATCACCAGTGGAAGTTTTATAGTTTTTAGTTTCACGAGGGTTTAATAGGTAGTTTTAGTGAAAGCTTTTATGTTTTAAAGTAGAAATGTATAAACAAAGGGGCTATATGATATGTAACATTAAAAATCAAAGGTTTCTTTATTTTTTTATTATCAAAAAGATCCTATCTTTTTAGAAACTCTTATAATAGAAGATCTGTTGGCTATTTCATATTCCTGCTAAAAGAAACCTTATTTCTGCACTTATCTTTTTATTATTATAAGTAACCAATTTTCAATATTAAGACTAAGGTAAACAAACCAATATACTTAAATTTTCAAAGAATATCTATATGTTATATAGATTTTACGATGTTGTTGGTCAAGGAATTCGTCGTTTGGCAAATTCCAAGATTTCCTTCTTGCGAAAAGGTCTCAATACTTTCAAGAATCAGTTAACTTGTCTATTTTTCCTGTACATACAACCACTGTTTTCTTTAACCCATTTAATGAAAAATGCAGTGAACATTCAATCACAAGAGTGTGAAATACTTTCATGCAAGGCATTGATAGCCCATGTCTTCTTGATTATCTCTCGTTAAATATGTAACAGATACATTTACCATATATCTATAGAATATCTTTTCTGAATATCTTACAAAAGAAAAGTTTAGATTAGATAATAACCAAATGAGACTGAGTATCAATATACTTATGAATGTTTTAAATTCTTGATAAATATTTGTCAGAACCTTTATTAATTCTATTGTACAGTGAAGTTTCAGCTCAACGTATAATACTAACTGGGGTCCACTGTGAGTATTATAAACTAAAACAAGTACTGTGTACTATCTTTAGCTTCAACCTTGAATGCAGTTCAACTTTTAGTATTTCATTTTCTTTTATATTCATGACGATGAGTCGGAATATGAGCTTTGTAAACATTTTGTAACCCCAAAAACCACCTTCAAATCATTTTCACGAATCGTTTACGTTTTAAGAATTTTTTCATTTATTTGCGCTCAGCAGTCGGCAAAGAAAAAAAAAACAGAAATTTAAATTAAACCAGCTGTCGCAGCTGAAGAGGAGCCTCCGTGGCCCCTCAAGGATGACCAACTTTAGTAGTTGGGCTGGCCGTAGGGCGCGGGACTGTTGTACAGTGGTCCCTCGTTGCCATAGCCATTGCCATCGGCAGATGACGCGGCACCGGCGGCAGAGGAAGCAGCTCCGGCACTACCATAACCCTGAGGCTGGCTGTACTCCCTGGGCTGGCTGTAGACGGGGGCAACCACTGGAGCCAGAGGAGCCTCGATCTTCTTGCCCGGTTTGTAGACCTTCACGTAGACAGGGTTCAGGCTCAATGGAGTGGGCACCTTGTTGATCACCTCCTGCTGGTAGATGACCGAAGGCTTGATCTTGTAGATGACGGGATTGCCACGCACAACGGTCGGTGGTCCGCTGTTCACATGGGCTGGCGGTGCACCGGGCTGGTGGACAATGATTGGGGGCAGGGGCTGGGTGGCGATCACCTGATGGTTGTTGTGACCCGATGGCACCAACAGGGAACGGAACAGATGCTGGTCAACGAACTGTGGGGACACCACCTTGATCTTGCCCTGACGGATGTTGCTGGCCAGATTGGTCTCGGCCAGAGACTCGGCAATATCCTCAGAGTTCTTCAGCTTCTGGTAGTTGGGATCGGCATTCAGGGCCTGGAGTTGAGCCTGGACGCGACCCAAACGACGAGCCTCCTCGGGCGACGGCTGGATCTCGGCCTGTGAGGCAATTTGATTGGCAGCCGGCTGGTTGCCACCAGTCGCCACATTTACGTACTCCTCGAGTCCGGCATTGGGACCAGGCAGGTACTGTCCATGTCCACCAGCGGGACCATAGTTTGCGCTCACCAGCTAAAATAGGACAGAGAGATAACATTAAGAAATTGCCGTAGATTAGAGGGATGCTATGGGTGATCGCCATGGATGACCTGGCTACTAACCGGCGCGGCGGCGATGGCGAAAATGCCAAACCAGAGACCGAGTTGCATGTTGCCGTTTACGTGTGGATCGTCTACTGCTCAGTGTCTGGCGATGACTCCGGCTCTTTATAGCGCCTATAATCGCTGCCCGCCATGGCCGGCTACGTGATCCATCTCCATTTCCGATTTTTGAGCTCGCATCTTTGTCTCGCCATCGTGCCCAGATCTGAAGACAACCTCCTAACCCCCAGAGGGCACAGCCGTCTGCTTTCCGCCCATCGCAATCATCTCTTTGTGGCGGTCGCCTTGGCTTGAATCATAGCTCATCCAGCAGTGATTGACCCAAAAGATCGACTTCTATCGTTATGCATCACAGTTTTAGGGGTTCTATAACTTCTCTTTAAAATTTTTACTACATTTTAGGTTTGTGAGTTTTGGTTTTCTCTTTGGAAATTCTTTGGGAGTGATGCATAGATAGGTTCTATATTTTTGGTTAAAGTGTGTCTTGATCATTATCTGGTATCTTAATCACATCTTCTTCATGTTGTTCTATAGTTTCTATGATGTTGTGATTCTCCCCATAAAATCTAAACTAACTCTCTTTTGGAAATTTTAAGATAAAAGTGAAATCATCTGAGGCTTATGATTTTCTCGTGATACTGATAATATTTTTGACTTGAAATTATCTTTAAAAACTGATAAACTTTGTACAGATTTCCGAATAAGATATTATATATAGTATATTATACGGTTACATGCTATATAAGTACTATTTTAAATGGGTTAACTTCCCTTCAGTTTAAGTTTCTTTAGTGCTTGCAGTTTCTTTAGAAATGCTTGTCTTAATAGGTTTATTAATTCCATCTTATGAAGATCAGTTTAAGAATTTAAATATGAACTAAATGTGAGTTCCTCTCAATCCTTTACTATATAAAATTAATTATTATTATTGTACAACATTTAGGGATAAAAAACGAAATTTGATATTGATATTTCAATTTAATTTCAATAACACTTTCCCTATTTACCATTAAAGATTTTCTGTCATACTTATTTTATTAAAAACTTTGGTTAGCATGTCTTTTAGTAAGTGATTTATTTGTTTACTTATTTTAACATGTTAGCCTACATTTTAATGGTGGATATTTTCGTCTCGCTTGAAGTTATATTAACTAAATATTAACTAATCAGAAATATAAAAAACAATTTAAAAGAACGCTGAAATCTTTTAAGAGCTTTTCAGAATGAGTAAATATTAGCTTCGTAAACTTTATTAGAAATCTTAGTATTAACGTTTAAATCTTTAAAACTTGTACAATAACATACGATTCATAAGTCACTGAAAATGTTTTTTTGAGAACAAAAGTTTTTATCTTATTTAAATCCAAACACAACCGCTTTTTATATATTTTTCGTTTTATTTTTCGAATTAATTCCTATGGTGTCAGTGTCTGTGTGGCTTGTGTTGTGTGTGGAGTGTGTGTTGTGTTGTGTTGTGTTGTGTTGTGTTATGAGTCGGTGTGGCTCAGCCCCATTTATAGAACTCAATGGACTCGGCGCCACAAGTCTTTTGCTTTCGGTGAGGATGGAGTCTGCCTTCAGAGACCTCGTTTATAGAGAAGATAGGTGAGATCTCGTGTGGGTCGACTGCCGTAGTCGTTGAAGGGCGACTTGAAGTTGAGTTGGCCGCCAAAGGAGTCCACCTCCTCCTCGTGGGGATTCGGACGACCCTCTCCAGCGGAACGTACAGGCGAGGGATGCGATTGGGCGGCGTGCAGCTGATCCTCGCTAGAGTTGATGATATAACTCTGAGGTTTGTAGTTGTTCTGGGGTTTTGGGTAGGTGTTTCTGTGTGGTGTTTGTTGGTGTTGTTGTTGTGGGTATTGGTGTGTGTGTGGCTGTGGTACATATTGTTGTGCATGTTGTTGGGCATAATTATAACGTTGCTGGGAAGGATGTGGCTGCTGGATCTGCTGTTGGATGAGATACTGCTGCTTCATGTTTTTGGCTCGATTGTCGAAGCTCTGGCGATAGGCTGGACGGGGCTGACGTGGAGGAGAAGGAACAGGTCCAGGTCCAGGAGCACCATCACTTCCAGGTCTCTCAGCGCCCGGTAGATACTCGTGATGCACCTCCTCATGGACTCCATTCTGGGTCTGATTGATCAAGCGATTGTACTCTTCATTGACGCCGCCCACCTGCAGATGGATGGCATGTCTGAAGTCATCGCCCAGATGTTTTAGCCAAAAGTTTTCATCCACTTCGCCGGTGGTGTAGATCCTAGTGGTTTGGCCACTCTTGGGCTTACCCACTCCCGTGCCCGTGGAGGCCATGACATCGATCACATCATATTGCTCTTGACCACCACCGCCCTTCTGCATTGGTTCCACACGGCCATCCAAGCGATTGGTGGTCTCTTCTATCGGTGGACCCGGACTGGTGCTAGCATTGTAATCCTCTTCAGTACCAGGTGTCGATTCACTCAAATTCTAAACAAATAGTAAATCTAATTAGTATAATATATATATATTTGCTAGGTCGTTTGTTTGGACCCACCTCTGCGTGAATAATGGCCTGAGTTGAGAGCAACAGAAGCAGTATGGGCCAACTGCCGTCGGCTGCCATTTCGACTGAGGGCACCCGGTCCCATGGATTCCATTTAAATACCTCCAAAAAGAAGCTAAGTTTGGCCAATAAAGAAAAAGACGTGCCGGGACGTGATCTATAACCAGATATGCCATATTCACTAGATGTCTCATCCACGAATCTTTAGCGATCTTGATGCGTCAGAGAAGAAGAAAAAACAGTAGAGTTAAAGAATTGAGCCAGGGTCATTTGAATTCTTTAGCTCTCTACTCAATGGGTTCGAAATAACTAGACTAGATTCTTCAGGTTGTTATTGTATAGGGTGTAGGTATGTGCCATTAATGTGGATGCTGTAAGACATTTTTGACATGTGAAAATATACAAGGTCGCGTGTCATATTCGAAAGACAGAAGATTCTGGAAGATTATGAGAAGAATGCTTAAGTTACTTGTTTTACAATCAATAAATTTATTTACATTTTTATTGATAACTTTAAAGGAGAAATATGTGATGCTTCTTAAAGTCAGTCTGTACAATTTTACAATACCAGGCCTGAAAGTCTTAAACTTCTTAACAAGAAAAAGTAATTACCTTTTTGAATCTTCACTTCTTGATCTTCACAATTCACTTCATTAACTAAAGGAAGTATTTTTTATAAAGCTCAGCTTTAAATATTTATTATTTATGATTTATTAACTTCGCAAGAGTCTTGAGAATAAAATGTTTTGCTTTTGTGGTCACGAAGTTTAGTGAGTTTTTTGTAGCTTTAAGTCTACGAGTATCTTTTTGGCTTTTGAATACGATTTTGTATGCAATCGCAAGAATTTTGTCGGTGAATGATCAACAAATTGTTTATATAGAACAAAAAAGATATTTAGCCATTGACAGATCGTGATTAAAGTCACGGGTATACAAGTTGTACGTCTTTCTCTGTTTTGATTTTGTATTATTAAGACAGATACTTTAATAGCATTTATATAAGCTATATTGACTTCAATGTATCTTAATTTACGTTGTAAAAACGCATGTTTTTCATATTCAGTTTTTGTATTTCGAAATCACGTCATGAATAGCAAGTGAGAATGCGTGTGGATTTTTAGTAATTATTTACCATTCACTGGTTTTACTTTGTGTGTGATTGAATTGAAGTTTGGTTAGGAATATGGTATAAGTTTACATAAAATGAATATTGCTAGGAGCCAATTTTGATAGCTAGAAATCAGCTTAAGCAACTCAAAGGTTTATATTATGATTAATATTAAAATGACAAAAACAAATAGGTTTTGAATAGTTTTTTGAATACATCAGGAAGGATACAAGTTGTCTAAGAAAAGGAATAAACAAACTGAAAGTTATCTCTGCTAAATGTAATCAAATCTTAAATATACGTTTCTAACTTTCTCCTATTTTCTAATCATAATTTATTATCCAAAAGCTAGCTAAAATAGAAAGCATACTTTTAGGGGTATCATAGAGTCTTAAACAAGCTAAAACTACATCATATTACCAAAAGAAATCATCGAATTGAGCATTTTGAATCAAGCAAACACTTTATTAACCTGTTAAATGGGGCAACTTCTTGAATTGCAGACAAAAGCGGAAAACGTTGACAAAAATCGGAGGTTGGAATCGTTAATAAAACTATATATATAGTACATATATACACAAGCGAATGGAGACCCAAAAGCAGAGTGCTCCACTGGCCTACTTTGGGCTGGATTTTAAGCCGAGCTCAGCAGATCGATGGGTTGGGTTGGGTTTTGGTTTTGGCTTTGGTTGGTTATAACATGGAAGACCTCTTTCTCTTCAGTAGCCGTAGCCCTCGTCTTCGCCGTAGCTGCAAAGAGAAGAAAGACGAAGACGGTGGGTCAATAAGAGACAAAAAGAAACGCCACAATATTTTTTCAATTTATTATATTCTGTTTTTTTGGTTTAAGTTTGTTTTTTTTTTTTCTTTTGAGTACTAAAGCTAGGTTTTATAAGGGAATTAGGACTTAGGGGATCTAGAACCAGGCCCTCAGATAATCCGTTATGGGTGGCGCACTGTACGTGTCCACACTGTAGCCATTCTGGGTGTGACTATTGTAGCCATAGGTTTTGGCCGGTTGTCTGGAGTAATCCTCCCGCAGACTATGTTCCGGTTCAGAGTTCTGATCAAAACCCCAACCGCCCAGGCGGCCATCGATGAGTTTCTTGAGGAAATCTGTGGTTTGCTGTTTTTGTACGGGTTCCGGATCCACTAGACTGCCCTCTGTGGAGTAATGATCGTAGACCGGATGATTGTAAACGATCCCAGAGATAATGCTATCCAGTTGAGAGTCGGAAACGTGTTCCACTGGGTAGCCACCACCGAGACCTAAAAGTGGTGGTCCATAGGATCTTCGTGTGACCGATTCCAAGTCTCCAGCAAATTGTAGTGGCGTGGAGCTGTACTCCTGGGGATCTGGCACAGAAGTGGTGGACAAGAGGCTCCTCAACTGTGAGTCATCCACGAATTTGTAGTCCTCTTGACGACTTAGTGGTGAGGGAATCTGCAGGGGATAGTAACCATAGGCGGCTCTCTTGGACGGAATTGAGTTCTGTTGTTCTGGTGGCTCTGCTTGCTCAGATTGCATCGTTTGAGGCACTTGCTCCACTTTGGGGAGTGGCTCTTCTGGTGGCGGTGCATCTGCTGTAACGGCTCCGCAACCCATGTGGCATTGGCCGGGTTTAAAATCTGGATTAAGGGTTTCCGGCATGAATTGAATGATCTCTGGAGCAGTCAGATCTATTTGGGAACGTTCTTGCTCGAGAAGATCGTACTCCCCCTTGATATCACGCTTTTTCAAACGACGCTTTAAACCCAACCAACTTGGTTGGGCTTTCTTGGTCTTTCGCTTCGTTTTTGGTGCGGCAGCAACTGGCTGTGGGGACTCCACGGGGATCAAGCCAAAGAGTTTGATCTGCTGCTTCTGCTGGGCAGGAGTCAAATCCTTGTGGTAGAGTTTAACAAAGCGTGGAGGACGCTCCTGGAGCTGCTGTTGGCGCATGAGCCGCCGGCGGAGCAGGGAACCAGGTGGTCGGAGATCCCTGCGTCGACGAATGGCATTCGGTGACCTGACCGATGGAGCTACGTACCTGGGTTTTTGACCGGAGCAACTCGAGCAGCCGCAGGTTGTCTTATCCTTGGCCTGGCAATCTAGAACAATCATAAATTTATAAAATAGTAATGTCAAAGGATTTTAAGGCGCCAAGAAGCTATCCGCTCAAGAGAGGGAGTTGAAGTTGGTTCCTAGATTGTCCCACTTACCAGACTTGTTAACGGTGATCCTGTCCACCTTGGCATACAGATTAGATGGATTGTTCTTGGGTGGAGCCGGTGTCCTGGGCTGCTCCACTGTGAAGTCAAAACTGTAGCTAATTTTGGCCTTGGCCTGAACGGGTTTCTCCACTCGATAGCCATACTCGCCACCTACATACTTCTTGGGCTTGGCTGGATTGGGCACATTCAGTTGATAACCCAACTGGGTGGGGCAGGCACAGCTCTCGCCCGTATAGACAACCTCCACGGGAGCGGTATGGACCAGTGTTACTAGTACCAGGCCCAAAAATAGGCCAATCATAGCTGTTGAGTGTAGCATCACGGTTAGATCTTCTCGGTTCTCTGCCTTGCTGGCTACTAGCCGAAGAATACTTCGATGCATTCTTTATATCATCTCGCCCAGCTTGGATGCCCCCAATGCACTTGACTTTGGGCAAGGTCTTCTTCTCCCAGAGACGCCGGCTGATCACTCTGTTTGTTTTTGTTTTCGCTGACCTTTTCAAATAGTTCGCGCGGGTCATGTTTTCTGTTAAAAGTCATGTTCCCGACGTTCGCCGCTTTCTTCAGTGTCGAGTGTGTGTCTCGAAGAGTTCGAGATCTAAACGCCAAACTGGGAATTGTCTACAGTGGAAGTTCGGTAATGAAAACTAGAAGTTAATAACTGTAATTATAACTATAATAAATACAAATATTTTTTGTTTTTGAATGAAACTCAATAGCAACTTTCAGAAATCTCTATCAAGTTAGATAATTCATTAGCTAGTTTTGAATTTGTATTAGGAACACAGTTCTGTTATTAAACTTATTCAAAATATGTTTCTATAACTTTTTATATTATTATAAAATATGAAAAGTCATAGTTCTTCATAGATAAGCTCAACTGTGGTTATGTAATTTATTAATAAATAAATCAAACAAGAGTCGTGGGAACATTTAAAGACTTAAAGAAGCTGTAATACATTTCTAAAACCTGTAAGAGTTAATTAATATTATGAATATAATATTGTACTTTTTGGATAAATTACCTTTTAGCATCTAACTTTATTGTCAGCATAATAAACTAAAAGCGTGCCTTAGTTCTCTTAGTTCTCTGTTTACATAGTTACTATGATTAACAAATAAGTAAATAAATAACTTTTATAAAGAAGTAAATTTTCTTTGGCTTCTTAGAAAGTTATCAAAATACTTTTCAATTTCTCCCAATTTCATAAAAATAACAATAACTTTATATAAATTTATATATATATTTTTAAACCTAACTTAGACAGACATCCATTAACTCCCCAGCATATATACATATTTACAAAGCAGAAAGATCGGTATTAGATTAATAGTAGCCATCTTCGGACTCCTCTCGTTTGGCCTTTCGGTATGAGGTAATCCTGCCTGGCTTGAAGCCACAGTCTACGGACACTTTGCCAGCCACTTTGCCATAGCCCTCGCTGGAATAATCCTTGGAGTCCTTGTAGGCATAACTAGATCTAGAAGAGCTGCTAATCTTCTTGAACTTGGGGTTCTTATACTGTTCGGTGATATAGCCCAGCTGCTTGTAGGTGAGCTGCGGCGCCTCCTCATCGTCGGAGGACTGTTCCTGCTCCTGTTCCTCCTCGGCGTACTCCTCCTCCTCTTCCTGCTTGGCCGCATAGTTCCGCTTCTTCAGTGTGATCACCTCACTCTTCAGCTTGAAGAGATTCTCCTCGGGCACATTGGAGAAGACCACTTTTGTCTCACCATCGATGGGTTTTTGAGCGAATCCGTAGGCCAACTTGGCCTCTGGTACATTAATGGCCTTTCCGGCTTGGGCAGCCAGACTGACACTGATGGGATCCGCTGCCGGACTGTTGTCCTTTGTCTTTTCAGCGGCATAATCAATGCTGGAAAGGATTAGGATTGGTTAGATAGCATTCCCTATAGGGGTTGTTCTTAACTCACTTTCCGTAGACGGATCCCGAGCTGGAACTGGATGCATAGCTGCTGTCGGAGGTGACCTGCTGGCACGAACAGGTGGGCTTGCACGGCGTGGTCTGTTTGGATTGATCAAATCGAGAGTTCAGTTTCGGGGTTTGGATATCGTTGGAGGGTATCTAAATGGGTTCTATCGCTCTGCATAGCTGCTCTTGGTTTTAGGAGCACGTACGCGGCGATATATGAGGTGGAGTACTACATATAGATGACGATGTTCTGGACTGATGCGGTGACGCAAAGTTGGGGCGGTGATAATGACGACCGATGCGGAAATTGTTAATGCAGCTGAAGGGGGGGATGACGATGGATGAATGCCACTTGCTACTGGGTGCTGATTGCCACTGTGGAAACTTAAGTTACTTCTTATAATACCCTAATGTTATGAAATATAAGATTCTTAATCAGATTTATCTAGTTCTATATGATGGGATCCATAGAAATCAAACCTCAACTAAAGATTGTACTATTCTTATTAGATGAAAAGTTAGTTAGTTGTCTGCTGGGAAGGCATCACTGGTTATGAGGTTTAGTCATGGATGCTGTTATAGTTGATGATAGCGATGGCCCGATGGTCCCCTCTTAAAGCAATCGATCCGCTCAAGACGCTGCAGCCGTTCGGCCAGACGTTGTGCCGCCAACGTCTTGGCTTCGATGGCACCCTCGAGCATCCGACGACCCAAGAGGTTATTAAAGGCGTTCATATACTGGAACAGCTCACGTACTTTTCCACAGGTCTTGGGCAATTGGGCCGGTTCGATCAGCTGTTTGCTACACCAGCAGTTGTCTCCAATGGGCGAGAGATTCACATCACTGGGTTCGTAGTATCTGGGCTTGGGACGGATCACTGTGGATCCCTGACAGCTTGAGCAGTAGTCCGTACCCTTCTCGGAGCACACACAGGCAGCCATTAGCTGGAAGATCAAGAGGGGAGTACTTAGAAAAATTTCAACTTAATTCATTCAGAAGCTAGTCCTGAGCAGGCACTACACTAAACAGTGTTGATTAACTTCTTGAGAAGCTTCCTTAGACTCTTATTAGGAATCTCTTGCCACTTTCACTTAATCACATGCACTTTTTCTAGTACTTCTCTAATATATATATATTAGTTTTTATTTTTCTTACCACTTGAATGCAATGCATTGCCATCACCAGCGAGAGAATAAGCTTGCAGGCTAGCATTTTGGTTAATATTCTTATCGGATTTTTGTGGGCTCACTCTGTTCTTGGCTCGTCAAAAGTTTGGACTGACTTGTGGGAGCGGTCCACACGGCTTATATAACCGGTGATAAAACCCGAAAGCTGTGCGGTCATGCATTAGTTTTTTGCAGCTGTTTGCAGCTCTCGATTTTTGGCCATGATGAATGGAAATCATTGCTCTTTATTCCAGTTAAATGAAATCTTCTCTGGGATCTTGGGTTCACTTTCTCGCCGAATGACCTTGAATGGGTTAGAGCAGGGTCAGGTTCAAGTTATAGCCTGTGTGTCTTGAAAAGCATTTTCCATTTGATGTCCAACCGCCCACTAAAGCTGTACAGCTACGTGCTTCGGTTTGAAAGCCCCACTTGGTATTGATAATACCCGTAAAATCAACACAAGCAGACAGATGTGATGCTATTTTCCCAATGGTGAATTCCACGAACTTTGGATGATATAATAAGAATAGCTAACAATGAAGATGGTACTAAGTATAGTACTAGAATAATGTGAACTTCTTGAACTCGCTGAAATTCTAGTCATTCAAGACGAGATGTTATCATAATGTAAGAAAACAAAGCTATTAAGAAATAGGCAGATTTCTGTGAAATAATGATATTGGGATTATATATATTCAATACCAATTTGATTCTATATAGCGATATGAGAAATACACATCTATTGTGCTGATAATTCTTTCTTAGTTCCTGAAAATTCGATTTGGGGAATTTGAACTGCGATTAGAATTGCGTTCTGTTCCCGATTTCTAAATGGGTCAGCGTCATCTTAAACAACGACCCGGGAATCGGGAGCAGACTTCACAGAAATCAAATAGGGCCATTAACCTAATTCGTGATCTGTTATTTGTGCAAATTTATTTTCTTATTTTTTGAAAACAACAAATTTTAGGGGGGGAAAGAACAGATCGTTCAGCACTTCCTTCCAGATCGATAACACCCAAAATGCCAGCATATCAAAATAATCAAAAGCACATTCCCCGGCAAAAAATGAAAACCCATATGACACATCAAAATAAACACGTCTTTGACGGTATCTTCTGGAGTAATGAGATTTAACTGATGTTTATAAAACGACATTTCACCGAAAACACACGTGTTAGCACTAATCAATGGTTTAGCCAATAAATCCATAGGCCATATTATGTAATTGTAAATTTCATTTGTCTATGGCAAGTTCAACGACTACTCAGGGCGATAACCTGCTGTGTGATTTGGAAAATATATACACTAAATTCTGGATTTACTAGTAGAGATTTTATAGATGGAAATTTATTGTCTGTGTTTTAATATATTTATATATATATACATATAGTTGCCAACTGATAGATCTGTTTACAAATCTCTTGCTTTGAAAAATCAACCTTGACCAACGGGCGATATCAAAGGAACTTTTGAGAACCCCAAGATGACTATCGATCAGCTTCTGGGCTCATGGGCAACAGTGGCAAACCCAAAAGGGGCTTGGAAAGTTTCACAGAATATAATTCTTACGAAATATAAAAACATTGCCCAGTAATAGTTTAAAAAGAAGAGCTTAAAATTACAAAATTTGAATAATTATATTAAAGTATTTCCTAGAAAGTGGAAATAATATAAAAAATTCATCTATAATACATATTAAATTATGCTTAAAGCTACTCAAACTATTTATTTACCAAGCTTACCCCCCGTATTATGGCTCCACTCCGGTCCATTCCAGAGATTAACCGACATGGGTCTGGTTTACGGTGCCAAAATCCCAGCCATTACAAATGGTTAATGGCTCGGCAACAAGACCAGACGCCTGAACCCTGGCTTATCAGCTGGATGAGTTGTATAAAAGCCCCCGGCTGACATCCCCACAAGCTCAGAACGCTTCTATATAGGGAATCGGAACCTAAGTTGCCCAGCCAAGTATATACATATACTTGGCCAATCGAAATCTATAGCTTATCAGTGCTGCTGAAAATCAGAGTCCAGCTGGCTAAGCCCGCTCAAAATTCGGCAACAGTACAGTCGTACGCCTTCAAGTGATCGCAAGTGGAGAGCTCTTCAGTTATATTTTTTTTTTTGTGGTTTCTAATCCAAAAAAACCGGATCCTTAAAATCCTTAAAACAAAAGTGATGGCAGCAAAAAGAATGGATTTAAATAAACGCACCTTTTTGGTGCTGAGCGGCAGCTCAAATCCTTTGGGTCAATCCCTGGCCGCGGAGTTTTGTCGTCGCCTGGCCACTGGTTCCTTGGCTCTGATTCTGGATGACGATCAGGAGCAGCTACACGAACTGGAGAATCATCTTAAAAGCGAGCTGAAAACGGAGAATGTTAAGATAAAGACTGGAAAGTTGGACAAAACTCACTCGAATGGCGTGCAGCTTATGGAGCAGACTTTGAAGGATCATTTCAAAGATTCGAAGGACAATCAACGTTTTGAGAGATCTATAATCCTTCACAACGAAGGACAGGCCGCTACTCATGTGCTCTTGGAACCTCAGAGCACCGAGGATTGGGAGGCGTATGTCCAGCAACAACTCTATGCTCCGGTGGCCCTCAATCAAATGTGGCTGCAATCGAAGTATCTGGAGAAGGTGGAGAAACTGGCGGTGAATGTGACTTCGTCCCTAATGGTTCGTCCCTTGGTCCATGCGGGATTACTGTGCTCCTGCAAGCGGGCCAGGGATATGTATTTCCGAGCTATGGCCGCCGAAGAGTATCGCTACGGTGTCCATGTCCTCAGCTTTTCACCCGGACTAATGGCCAGCCATGAGAGTCAGTGCGATGTCAACGGTAACCGGATTACTCCTGCCGATCTGGTTGCCTCCAAGGAGTTACTCCAACTGCCTAGAATCCAACCGAGACAGGCAACTCTGAAGTTGATCAACATTCTGGAGGAGATCTCCTTTGTTTCCGGGCACGATGTCGACTACTACGACACCTTTGTTTTATGAGTAGCATCGAGTGGGTGGGCTGCGTCCCTGATGGACTCGGTTCTGTTTCTGGCTGACGATTTGGATGCTGTTTTCGATTTGATTGCCTTGGAAATGAATAAATTCTGGTTAATGACCCTGGATTTAAACCTGGAAGTGCACGAAAACCAAGCACACGAACAGGAAAACGAAAAACAATTTTATTTTTATTTTTGATGAAATGGCTGGGTGGGAACTGAAGTCGATTTGAAGGTGTGCTTTTTGATCAGAAATCTAGATTTGAATAGGGGTAATAGTAAAGTTTATACCTTTTCAGTAATTTAGAGTGAAATATATCAAAAGGTTGGAAAGGGTGATTCATGGGCATAATTTTTAAATTTTTGTAACAAAAGTTTATCAACCGGAAAACTGAGAAAATGTGTAGTCCGGTACCTACCCCATTTTGTAGTCACACATTATGTGTAAGGCATACAAAAGTAAAATTGGAAGATCACTATTGCCCAAAGTATTCCTCCGCTATTGGGTTTCTAGAGTATGAATCAGCAATGTAGACATCATTATACATATAGTATAAAATAATACATACATAAATATGTATAGTTGCGCGAAATTAATTTCAAAACAAGCTGAGATCGCCACAGCCGCCTTAGAGATAAGAAATCCACTGATTGAATTATACGGAAGACACGTGTTCATTAATACGAGGTGTGTTCAAAAAGTAAGGTGACTTTTCAAATTTCGCGGGCAACATATTTTCGATTATCGTTTTTTTTGTTTTGTTATATTGGTACACTCTTCCCTAACATCTGTACCAAGTTTCAATGGAACATCCTCTTTTGTTTGGTTGTGAGAGGCGTAAAGTTACAAGTTGTTTTGCGAGCTCGGCGATTTTTTGCTTTTTTCGGTCTTGGCTCGTCTGGGCTCTTCCATTGGGACGATTGGGCTTTGGTTTCGATATCATAACCATATACCCATGATTCGTCACCAGTTATGACCCTTTTGAGTAAATCTGGGTCGTCGTTGACGTCATTCAACAGCTCTTGAGCGATGCTCATGCGACGGTTCTTTTGCTCAAAATTCAGCAATTTCGGAACAAACTTCGCTGACACACGACTCATACCCAAAACGTTTGAAAAAATTTCATGGCACGAGCCAAGCGATATACCGACATCTTCAGCAACTTCTCTGATAGTGATTCGACGATTTTCCAAAACAATTTTCGTCACTGCTTGAACGTTTTCATCAGTTGTTGACGTGCTTGGGCGTCCAGAGCGAGGCTGGTCATTGGCATCTTCCCGGCCATCTTGGAAGAGTTTGTACCACTTGTACACATTTTTTTTACTCAGAACAGTTTCACCGTATGCCACTGTCAACATTTCAAGTGTTTCAGAGCACTTAATTTTATTTTTTACACAAAATTTGATGCAAATCCTTTGATCCATATTTTTCGATAGCAAAAAATCGCCGAGCTCGCAAAACAACTTGTAACTTTACGCCTCTCACAACCAAACAAAAGAGGATGTTCCATTGAAACTTGGTACAGATGTTAGGGAAGAGTGTACCAATATAACAAAACAAAAAAAACGATAATCGAAAATATGTTGCCCGCGAAATTTGAAAAGTCACCTTACTTTTTGAACACACCTCGTATATGGATCGATGGATGGATGGGTGTTGTTGCCATGTCGGAATCGGAAAAGAATTCCTAATGGACTACCTCTTGATCCGGAATTTTACTTTCTTGTATGTTGTTCTGTGTAAATATGTACAGTAGGTGCTTCAATTTTGGCTTTTGTAGATTTGTTTTGTAGAGTTGTTTTTCCAAAAAAATATATTTTTGAGTTATAACTCTAAGATAGACTGATTAAATCAAAAGATATTAGCTAGTATCGTGAAGATATCTAGTAAAATATTACTTTGCAGAAGAGTAAATGTAGTTTTCCTTCTTAAATATCATTTATCATTCGGATTTTCATTACTGTGACTATATATTTATGTTATTATACTTCGACTCATTAGTTTCATTTCTCTTTGCAAATCATTTTTATTTCATATTTAAGGCATACTTTTGGGTATTCCTTCTCAAATGTATATGGAAAATCGAATATAAAGCTATGCATAAGTTTTCCTATAATGTTGCAAAGCTATACAAAATATTGAAGCTAACAATCTTTAGTAGAACTTTCCTACAATGTTGCTAAGCTTCTTTAATATTCCATTAAAAATAATATTACACCAAGTTATACAGATTTATTTTAAACCAAAATTAAACGTGTAAGGCTTGCCCTTCCTAAAAGCTATTGAAAGTATAATTTCAAAAATTAAAAGAAAAATTTTTCATCATTCTCTAAAAAAAAGGTTTAGCTAGTACAGTGTAATCATGAGAATAATAAATACATATTCAATTTTAATGGCAATTTCGAAGCTTGAACTGTATTACAAAGTTGCAAAGCTTTTGAGAAAAGATTACGGCAATCTCAGTCTGAACTCTTTTTGGATTCCAACCTTGACACTGACTTTGCTTTGAGAATTTTATCACATTCTTAGCTTGGTTGTGACGATAAAGCCCGTAATATTTGATCTATATTCTGACGACTTAAACGATGCGATTAATAAAACATAGGCAATTAATTAAATTAAATCGTTAAGCAAGAGCCGGCGATAACCTTTTCACATCAACTAGAGCTTAAAGCGTGAGAGAATGAATGTGGGAATCGAGAGTAAGAAATTCGGAGAGAGAGTAATGAGACATGGGTGGCTTTATAGGGGATACAGTGCCTTTTTTGAAGTTCCAACTAAATTATATCCCAAGCAACTTTTTAAGTACAGAAAAGTCCCTTAATTATTAGTGGAAAATCACTTAAAGGGTATTACTTAAAATGTAATTACTAAAAATATAATAATAGAGATTTTTAGGTCCAATAATATTTTATATCCCCTCCTGAAGAGTAATAATTATCTACGCTCCTGTCTATAAAAACAGTGAGCTTTAGTCAGCTGTGAAAAAGCTGGCAAAGCAGGTAAAAGGCAAAGTGAGTTAAAAGAAAAGACAACCAACTGTTGCCGCCGAAGTGTTTGGAAATTAGAAAGTAATTTAGTTCGCTTTTTGCTGCAATTATGGATCTAAAACAGCGTACTTACCTCCTGGTAACTGGGGCTTCTCGTGGCATTGGTCGGGAGTTTGCCCAGCAGCTGGCCAAACGAATAAAAGCCGAGGGTTCCGTGGTAACTCTTTTGGGACGCAATCAGCCACTTTTGGAGGAGGCTAAATCACAGATCAATGATACATTACCGGATCTACCAGTTCATGTTTACTCCTTAGAGTTGGAAACAGCCAAAACAGAAGACTTTGCCAAGATCTTGGAAAGTTCCGTCGGAAGCAAGAGTTACGAACGAGCTATAGTCATTCATAATGCCGGCACCGTGGGTGATACTTCCAAGAGAGCTAAAGAAATCGGTGATACGGATTTCCTGCAGAAATATTACCACACCAATGTCTTCTCCGCCATTTCCCTGAACTGTGAGTTCATGCGAGTCTTCCAGGGAATCCCAAAACTGGTGGTCAATCTTAGCACCTTGGCAGCCATTGCTCCTATTTCTTCGATGGCTCATTATTGCACTGTGAAGGCAGCCCGTGAGATGTACTTCCGCGTGTTGGCCACGGAGGAGTCCTCGAAGGACACATTGGTGCTTAACTACGCCCCTGGCGTTATAGACACCCAGATGACCGTACAGGTCCAGCGAGAGGCTCATGATCCCGCAGTGGTTGCCATGTTCCGAGAGCAAAGGGAGGCCAAGACTATGCTGACCACCGCCCAGACCACGGAACGTTTCATCAAGATCCTGGAGGCTCTTAAGTTCAAGTCCGGCGATCATGTGGACTACAGGGATGATCAGTTTTAGCTTCTTTTTATATAGATTTGATGTATGGTAATGGGATTTTTGTATTAAAACATTGAAATTATAAAGAAGTCTGTAGTTATCTCTGAAAGAAATCCCCTTTTAATCTATGAATCAGTTCATGTTTTCATATCGTACTTTCGGAAGCTGGGATGGTTTCTATTAACATATTATTGGTCTTCATGACTGAAAGTATTAACTAGAATGTCTCTAAATCTTTGTTCAATTACTATATGCATTTCTACTTTGAGAAATTTCTACAACTACCTTGCTTGTCAAGTTTCCTTAGTCGTTGAACAAATTATAATCAAAACATTACTTGAAATAAAAATGCATATAAGGGCACAGCCTTCTGTGATTAAAGAAAAGAGTATTTGAAGACTGCCTTTAACGTGGACTTCATGTTCTCAACTGATAACAGATGTGCTAATAATTACGCTTATAATTTTGCATCAATGATTATCTTATCAGAATTTAACATTCTTATTTACAACTCCATTTAAATCATCTTTTGAAATGATTCAACATAGTTTCAAGTCCCAAATAGTAGCAGGTTTATGTTTATGAGGTATTGTATTGAAACAAAACAAGAACAAGGCAGACAGTAAGTGCTAAAAGAAATCGGCTGCAGTGCGTCGCTTAGTGGGTATCTTGAGCAGATCGTCCGTGAGTGTGGATCCCGTGTCAATGGTTGAGCCTTTGGCAGGAGTACTGATCCTTGCCGGCTGTTGTTTCGGTGGTCCTAATGGCGTGTGGGTATTCCTAACCACTCCGGGTGTAACTTTGCGCTTCCTTGCACTCAGCGGTGATGGGGTGTGTGATAATCTGGGTGTTCCTCGCAGTCCCAGCTTTCCCGTGGCCAGTAATTGAGCTGCTGGCGACATGCTGGCCAGGCGTTCCATATTGGTGCGTATTAGCGGCGATCCAATGTTTCGACGCGCCGTATCCAAAGCCATTTGCTTTTGATTTCGCATCTTTTCACTGACCTTTTCCGCCAAAGCGATTGCAATATTTTCACGTCGAGAGTTCTCATTAATGCGAAACGAAGGTCCCTGGGTGGGCCGCAGGGGCGTATCGCCACCGTCCAGACGAAACGGAGTGCCATCTATCTCACCCCAAGTCATAATGGGCGAGAAGGCCTCTCCGGGTCGCGGTGATGGTGATCGCAGTAGATCAAATCCGCGTATTTTTGGCGTTGACGTCGATTCATTTGCTCCAGTCGCTGGCACTGCATCTAACTTCTTTTCCTCCGTCTCCCGATGATGGACCTCGTCTGGGAGTCTGGTGGCATTGTGCTGTATGCTTTGCTTACGCTCCGCCATCTGTACACGCTCTTCCTCCGTATACTCCACGCCATCGGGCACATACATAATAGAGTTCATGTTTGTGTAGTTCCAAGTTTCGATTTTCCTCAGGGGATCAGGTTCCTCGAATTGTTTTTCAATACTTGGCAGTATTAGAGCGCGCTGTAATTGCTCCGCGGAAAGTTTTTCGTGGTTGTATAGCACGGCGTATTTCTGGCGTAGCTTGGCCTCTGCCGTTTCTATGATTTCCTGGAAACTGTGGTTATCTTCGCTGGTGTAGTTCTGCAGAAAGGCGTCCAGCGAAAGTTTTGAGGTGGTGTCTCCACCCTCAGCTGCGCTCTTCTCTGAGCTAGTAGTGGAGTATGGGGTGTCTGTGGCCCGGGAGTTGGGTAATGGAGTATTGCTACGACTGGCCTGCACTGGGGTCTCAAAGGTGGCGGGAGAAAAGGCTGAAATAATATAAATTAAAGGATTAATATTGTACCTCCTTAGGTATTTATATTTATTTCATCAGTCTTTGAAATACTAAAGCTTTTATTTTCCGTTTTCTTTTTAAGAAATTCAATTTCCATATCAAAATCATTTCTCTATATAATATACATTATTTTTCCGGTTTTATACCAAAATGAGGACATCATTTTGATTTTTAAATTAAGTACTAAAATCAATAGAAAATCTTAGGGATGAATACATATTTATTTTACTTTACTAATGCTTCAAGTAATTCCTAATAATACCTACCATTATTCCTTTGATTATTCTTCCTGTTCACATTTCTTCCCATACCGGGAATCCTGCCCAGACTGTAGCGCTGCCGAATCTCAGCCATTTGCACAAAGTCCCTGCGCGCCTCCGCATCTAGGAAGTCGTTCTGGGCACGTAACTTCTCCAGATCTGGGAAGAAGTCGCGCTGAATGATCTTGGACATCTCCTCGATGTACTTCTCTTCCGTAAGGATCTTTGGCTTGTTTTTGTGTTTCACCATCGCCGTGGGCTTCTTGAATTCGGCCAAAGCCGAATTCTGAACACGGGCCACTTCCATAGCTAAACTGCCGGGAGTTCCGGGTGTTCCCGGTGTGGCAGGTGTACGGGGGGTACTATTCATCGCGTTATATACACTGTTAATCCTTAATTATTACTTTGTTTTGTTTTGATATGAAAAGTGAAATTCTTATTTTTTTTTTGTAAGTGTTGTGTGACCGTTCTATTTTTCGCGGATAATGGCAATTCGTCTTATTGTTGCCAGACTGAGTTGCATGGCGGTCTGGCAAGGAGCACTTATCGATAAGTTATCGCAAGATGTGGAACGTATTGTTGTGGGTAAGTGTGTTTATATTTTCAAAAAATGATAAAACATTATTATCAAACAACTTTTTTTCATTTTAGCGGACATATTCGTGGGTTATAAAGTAAGGCAAAGGGTTTTTTATGAGCTAATTCATAGGTAACAAGAACTAAAAGCAATTTAATTGTTTAAATTACAAATCATTAGTTACATTAAGCTTAATAGTAGTATAACATATTTAGGCTTTTGCCAAAGCATAAATATCCGTATACTAATTTGTCACATATATCTAAGGTATATATTCTATACTAAAAGAATTGTGTAGAAACAAAAGGCATATTTGAATTCTGTATAATAACTGCCAATATGATCAAACTTCTGCACACCATATCAGTCCGATTATCGCCGTCGGAATCCTTATCTTTGTACTATAAACAGGGAAACTTTGAAAGGCCTCTACGAGCATTCGATACTGCCTTCAGTCTTAGTTCAGCTTTACTACTCGTCGGACCTTCGATCGCCGTGAAATTAGTTATTTATTTCAAAACCCATTCGTTCGATAATCAAAAATCATGAAGTTCTACCTGTTGGTGATCGTTGCCGTGTCGTTTTTGACCTACATCAGTTGTGGTAAATTTTTTGTTCTTCGTTTTCAATCAAATTACTTCTGATTTCGATAAGGATCACCTGTTTTTTTTTTCCTGTTTCAAATAATTGATTTACTGAGTGTATTTCTTACATAAGAAGGTGTGATAAGCTATGGTCTCATGGACACGAAAATAAATCCAAGATAAGATATCAATAGACGACGACTTTCTATAGTAAATTCAAAGGTTCTAAGCTTTGTAATACGACCAGCATATATTTTTTTTCGTGAGTGTGTATACAGCCGGCTTATTATTTTATATATAGAGGTATATATACCAGTATGCGAGTATATGAATGGTCACGCCCATGATGAAATGTAATATTCAACATTATCAGCATTAAACAATGTGACGAAACACGCTATAGTATGAAAACTGCTGCGGTGATTCGATCAAAACTGAATTTGTTTAGGAAAAAGAAAAAGAAAAGAAAAATTGGAGCTAGAAAATACATTTCTTTATCAAGTTTATAAGTATTTTTCGTCAAAAATAACCAAAATTAGTCAAAGATGAGATCATCACGACCTTTTTACTTCTTTTGTAATTAGCACATTGATTCATTATAAATACGAAACAATATTTAGTCAAAATTATATTAATAAGCTAAAGATGAGATCATCATGACCTTTTGTAAGTGGCACATTGATTCATTATAAATTCCAAAAAAATATATATAAAATAATATCAATCATGTCGTAATAATTTGTATGCAAACTTTAAGCACTTTAAAGTAAAGTTGTTAGCGTTGTAAATTTACTTTTCTAATCTTATTTGGGACTTAAATAGACTTTTATTTGTTGACTCATTTCGGGGCCTATATACACATACTGTTGATAAGAATCGATTATGGTAACAGGAAAACTGAGATAAAAGCTGTCAGGTAGTACAGTGTGTCCCAATAGTGTTAGACAGAGCAGGTGAAAGGGTCAAAATGAATCAGACAAATCAAACATTAGAGATAAAATTGCGTTCAAAAATATGTATATATATTTGCACCGCTTTAGTGGAGGACTTTGCACCAAAATTAGTTTAATGTTTGCATTTGAACGGAAAGAAAAAAAAAGGTTACTACCATTTGGTCTAATCTAATCAGGCATTTCCATGACTCAATCGAAACGCTCCGTTCCCCTCGCTCAATTCGCAGATGGCTGCATCCAGTGCAATTCCAAGACCAACGAACGCTGCGCCACCGATCCGCTGAGCGTGCTCAACCGCAACTGCTCCGATGGAACCTCCAATTGCTACTCCCGTGTAGTGGGTAAGTTATAATTCCACAAGTTTCTTCAGGAAATGTGACTCAATTTTTAAAATTGGAATGTCTTTTAGATGGGTACACGATTCGTGGATGTGCCGTCGACTTGGACAATGCCACCCGGTCAACGTGCAACAACGAGCTGATCTGCCAGCTTTGCACCTACTCCGAAGGCTGCAACAGGAACACGTTCCCGGTTAGTCGACTGCAGTGCCTTCAGTGCTCTGGCAACTCAACTTCTTCGGCCTGTGCCACTGAGACCTACTCGCAAGCGAAAATCTGCCCGATCTACAAGTTCGGCGATCAGTGCTACATCCGCAACAGCAACCGCACCGTGGACGGATCCTTCCAGCGTGGATGCCTAAGCTCGGCGAATGCCAACAAGCAGTGCGTCAAGGGTGGCAATTGCTACACTTGCGATGGCCGCGGTTGCAACTTCCTGGTGGCCAACGATACGAACATCCCTCTGGCCCGTGATTCCGGTGCCCATGTTGCGGTGTCCATGTCCTTGATGATCGGTGGTCTCCTGGCTGCCTGGAGGCTTTAAATAAGAAACACGAAAGAAATTTATAGTCGAGTTTAGTTATTGTGACTATAAGATACCCGTTATCGGCCATAAAAACTATAAACTATATAAAGATGAAAGCCAATCCTGCCACATTCCCAGCTTTCGAAACTTCATCAGCCGTATTAAGTGTCATTTTTTTTTTTAGCAGCATTAGCATTTGATATGTATTCCTTTTTTATACAACCTCTGTATTGGTTATGTCTTTGCCTTGAACAAAAATAAAGATACAAATTAAATGAGATAAAGAACATGTTGGTAGATTTTTAATACAAATATTCTATAAAAATGTCAACTTACTTTTTAGAGTTTGCTATAATTTTTTTTTTACAAACTGCCATCGTTTGTTCTTAACAAAAAGTAAAATATCAAAACTTTAATGGGGAACGCAGGGCAAATATTTTTCAAACATTTTGTTTGCATTTGAATTTTTACGAGGTGTCAACGGGCGGCACTTGAAGGCCCGAACTGCAGTTGACATTATATCCATATTCCTCTCCCGGCACTCCATTGCCTGCCCCCTATACAGAGTCCCAGAACCACGAGCTGTTCCCAAAAGATAAACCGGAAGCTCTCTCCGCCAATGAGGGGTGCATAAATGTGTCGACGCCTTCGAATGTTTGTCAATTACTTTTCACGGCTCGCTTTTCCGGGGCCATTTCCAATCGAATTGGATGTGCGGAAATAGATTAGTTTGTGGATGCTACTCAGAGCCAAGGAGCCAATACAGAATATATATTGTTTTAAGATTTCTTAGTAAAGTTAGTAAAGTAAGTTTTGTACTTTTTTAATGAGATGTATTTAGACGAGACTAAATACTTTATCTACTTTTAGGGTTTTCACCCTGATCTGGGATGTTAGTAACTATATTTAGTATATAAAAGTACTTTGAACAAGTTCACAAAAAAGTTTCAAAAATCAGTTACTTAAAATGCCATGACTTGTCCTTCACATTACGATGTGATAGTTCGGCGAGGCAATCACATACAACTTTTCCTAACCAAATCGGACTTTAAAAACACAGAGATAAATACGGAATTCGGGAATCATATCCAAAAATAATCAACATACGAAAATGATGCAAATCCTGGTGCAGACACGCGACGGGCGAAAAAGTATCTACGAAGTGGATCGTTTCGGGACGGTGGGCAGTCTTAAGGCCCGCATTGGACGCGATATGTCCGTGCCCATGGGATTTAGTCGCCTGACCTACAAGGGCCGCGTCCTGGCCAATCACAGTGTCCTGGAGGATGTGGGCGTTAAAAGGATGTCCACTCTGGATCTCTGCTGGCAGCCAGTTGTCCTCACACCCAAAAGATTAAGCGAAATGGAAGAAGATTTGGACCATTTAGAGCAAAAGCAAAATCAAATGCAATCAAGCATTATTGAGAGATATGATCAGATGGTCAAGACTGGTGGAATGGTTCAGGCTTCGAGTAGCTCCCAAGATGATGATACACCCATTGCTGATATATCCAATCCAATTAATGAGGACGACGATGATGATTTGGATGATCTCTTATGCCCATCATCCGATGGCTGGGAATTTTTCAACCAAGAATTCCCCAAGAAGTCAGATGACGAAATTGAAAAGATGCCGGAAGCACTGAAGCCAATAGCTCTGCCGACAACTCCTTTGGTTCTTTCTATCCAACCCAAGAAGCCGGAAGCCAGCGCTCCGGCAAAGCCAACCAATCAAAAGAAGAAGGGCAAGAAGAATCGCAAGAAGAAGTAGGAAGTTGTAGGAAGTTGTATAGATTTTCTTCAATTCCTTCCTTCAACATTTCAATTCGAAATTCATTTCAAACTAATATCCTTTCGACCGTTATTTGAAATCTAAATTTGCGTTACAAGCAAATCAAATAAACCGTCGACTAATTAAAATTCTAAATGGGTTTTACTTGTTAAATATTTGAGGTTTATTTTTTATAGTTTATAAAAAAGTGATAAGAAATGTTCCTTAAATAGCTTAAAAATATCTAACCCGAGTGCAAATCGATAATAATATGTATTCTCCTTGCCGATCTCTTCCGACACATTAAAAGCCATTTATCCTCAGCAGTTAGCATTTAATTTTGAATGTTTATACTGAAACAAATAATTAACAAATAATGGCATGGCCAATGCCATAACAATTTTTCAGAATTTATGAATTATTTATGGACTGCATGCATAGTACTGGGATTCGTAATGATTCTGGAAATGCCAAAAAGATAAACGAGAGAAACTCGAGTAAGAAAAACCACTTAACTCAAAATAATTGTAAACAGAAAAATCGAACGAAAATCAAGGAAAAACAATAACAAAGCAGTTCCGTAAATGGATAATGGATAAATCCTGGGCGCAACTGGATGCGTAGATTTATATAGGGTAAGAACTAAAGGGTAAACAAATCGATTCAGGTGGAGGAGGTACCTGATGGAGGTACCAGCTACCAGCTACCAGATACCAGAGATACCACATCCCAGATCCCAGATACGATATACCATATATACCGCTAATTGAATGCCCCGTGGCTGATGGAAAGCAGACGCCTTCGGCGATTCGGGGGTGTTCACTTTGATCGGTCCAGTTTTTTCGGGTTCCCCAGATCACCGCAGGGCCCACATCCCGGCGGGCTCTAATGGCCAACAGACGCCATTTTCCGTGAAGCTTCTACCACCACGTCTTCTCACTTGCTCTTTCTTTCATCTGTTGGTTTCCAGCTTTTTGTTGGCATCTCTCTTATACCTGCACTGGCGGAAAATTTGGTTATTTTACCAAGGTTTATACTATCAAAACCTATCACTAAATTAATCAAATTAAGAATTAAACTCCTTAAGCTCGTGTTAGTAAGAAGTACTAATCCTATCCTAAAGTAGTAATACATTTGAATAGATCATTTTTCCTTTCTAAATATTAAAAAATATATTCATTTAATATAAATTTTCTCTCCGTGCACCTTTCCAGTATCTTAATATTCCGTTTTCCCCCGTTACGGTTTATTTAGTGTCGAGGTTATGGCGCAATTTGTATTTATGGCCACCAGCAGCACCACCACCATCGGCTGCACTGCAGCATGAGCATGAGCCATAAGCACCGAGCACTGATCACCAGAAAAACCAAGCACCAAGGCAGTACCATGTGGCCGCAGTCCAATTAAAAGCGTTTTCCAAATGAGGCGCATGACTCAGGTCAGCCACCCACTCGGCGGGGCACGCCCACTGCCCATTGCCCGCTGTCCCCTGCAAGAAGTAAACAAAATCTAAATGTGAGGATCCCCACCACCATCCTCCACCTCCTCCTTCTGCCCATCGGCATAGACCACGCCTCGCCAGAAAAGAGAGCGAGAAAGATTTTATAAACAGAAGAACTGAAATTTGAAAAAGGGGAAGAAGAGTTGGGGCTACAGTGAAACGTAGTCTTTGGGAGATTATCAAATAAGTTTTCTCATTGGAAAGATTCTTTTGGAAGACACTTTATGTACGGTAAAGTTTCCATTTATATGTTCATAAATACACAAAAATGCCAATTAATTCCTAAATCTGTCAATTATGTTTCTCAAAGAAAATTTGAAGTTTTCTATGCAGTTATGCATTCATTTTCAAAACTATCTAAGATCTAAAAGTTAAATGACAAATATTACTTAAATCAATTACATTTTCTGAACCCATATTCAGAATATTACAAAACTTTCTATAAAACAATTCAACTTCTGCTAAAACCGCATTAAAAAACCCAATTAAGTTAGTAAAATATCATTTTAAGGTCTTCGAAAACTAAATGCCTTCCCAACACCCTACACTGAGCTTAAACAGTCTTATTCCTAAGAAATAAATAAATAAATATCATCTTAAGGTCTTCGAAAACCTATAGCTCCACTGTAACCCCATCTGGTAAATGCCTTCCTAGCACCCTACACTGAGTTTTAACAGTCTTATTCCTTAGATAAAGCCCTCAGCACCATAAGATCTGTGCAGAGCCAACATATGTCGACTTAAACCAAAAGGAGGAGGAGACGTCTTCGGCCATTGGTCGATCGATCGTTTCGTGGGATATAGTCTAAATTTAGATGCTGCTGGCGGCGATTGGTGGATGTGGATATAGTGAGATGATATGTTAAAGATCTTGAGATCTCGAGAGGCAGTGGTACGGCAGCTACGAAACGAGAACTCTCATTCGGCGGACCAACGCTTGACGGAACGGATGTGTGCGTGATCAGAGATCGGATCATATCAGATCGGAGTGCGGTCTATACGCGATATATATATACGGCAGATAGTACGGATAATCAGTTCGCACTTGGCCGGAAGAAGGTGGCAATTGAGACAACTCAACGCTTTCTGCCAGGCGAAATAGAAAGAAAACAAATAAAAGAAGTTCAAGTCAATCAATCAGCTAAAAACCAAAAACAAAAAAGGAAAATCTCAACTAGAACGAAATTTTCGCCAGTCAACGCGATCGGGCCATAAAAACATTCGAGCCAAGAATAAAAAAAATAAGGAATTAATTTCTTTCGATTTCGATCTCGATTCTGATTGACAACTGCGAAAGGTTGCCGAGATTTTTCACACTGCCCCGTCCGTCGGCAATAGTGGTTGTTGTTGTTGTTATATTTTTTTTTTTTTGCAGTGCACAGTGAGTGTGAGAGAGTGTGTACGAGTGTGTGGGTGTAATAATCAAATTTGACAACTGCGCGAAAAACATTTCGAGATCAAAACATCTTTGTAGCCAAAACAAATCAAATTGGAATAAATGGGCCAAGAATCTAGTGCAATTTACTTTTTTTTACTGTGAGATCCTATATATATATAGATATATACCTACATATATCATAAAATCCAACTTTGCGATGACGCACTTGATGGGTCCCACTGAGTGCGCCAGCGCCATGATGACCACCTCGATGCAGTTCCTGGACACCAGCCTTCCGGATTACAACTGCTACGCCAATGACTACTGGACTTCGCCGTACATGACCGGCGGTCTCAGTCCCATGAAGCAGATCGAAGGTGAGTCCGATGCTCTATGGAAGAGATCATTGGGGGGTATTTTTGGGAGGGGTTTCTTAGAAGTTTCAAGCTCTTTCTAAAAAAGTAATAAGCTTAAAAGATGTATAAAAAGAAAACATGTATGAGTTTAACTTTCATATTAAGATTTTTAATTATTAAAATGAAAATTATATAAAAAAAAAAACAATAATTATATTAATATATAATATCAATATAACTTAATGATTAATAGTAAGGAAAATTTAATGTTTGTAAAGGCAAAGGAAAGTTTTTATTACTTCTGAAATTTAGAAAGTTTTATTCTGTGAAAAATATTTAAACAATTCTAAGCTTCCAATCTTCAATTTCAACTTCTAAAATATGTTTCTTAATATTCATTACACATATTAGATTGTCTCTATTTGTTATAAATATTTTAAAAATATTCATAAAAACTTGTTACATTCTCTTAAACTTCAAAATAATCCCTGAATAATTCTCAGGAATTTTTGTAGCTTCTGAAAACCATTTCAAGCCATTTATTTGGTTTTCAAGTGACCCAAAAAATTAAAAGAAAATCTGTTTCCGATACAGTAATTAGCAAAATACACGGACCATGTCAGCGGCGTCGGAAGAACCAAGAACAAGAAGCCAGAAAACCCGAGCAATTAGCTCCGAATTCCGGGATCCGAGATTCGATTTTCAAGTGGCATTTCTCTCATTTTTTGTGTTGTTGTTTGATGTGACAGAAAAACGATTTGTTGTGCCAAACGTTAATTGATTTTAGAATTCATTCGTGCAGCGTAAAATGCCGAAAACTCTCTTTTCTTTTTATTGCTATATTTTTTTTTGTTTTTTGTTTTTTGTTTTTAGCGTCTCATTAAGCGAGAAGCGACCTGTCATGGGTCATTGGCGGCAAACGGGAATGGCAATTCCCGCAACTCCGAGACGGTGACAATTAATTGCAGAGATTTCCCAGCACTCCCCGCGAAAAGGGAGAGCTCCTAAATATAGAGCCGGCAACTCAATCAGCAGCCCTTGGTCTCTGACGCCTCTTTATAATTGGACATGTTGTCCCATTTGCCCGTAAAAAGTCGAAAATCCAGCTCATTATTATAGTTCGTTACTTCAGGATAAAGCAGATATTATAATGGGATCTTTGCGCCTGCGTGGCGTCTTCTTGTTTCCCTGATTTCCACTTTAAATCGCATAAATCAAATTAAATATGAAATTAGCAAATCCCACTGTCTATATATAAACCCATTCACTTGCCATACGATATATATATATATATAGGAGGGACGTGTTTGATTTATTGCCGCATATTTTTCGCCCATTTGTCAGGAATCTGGAAAAGTAGGTTGAATTGAGATCTTTATTTATTTATTTGCCTGGCTTTTCATTTGACAGGGAAATGAATTAACTTTAATTCTCATTTAAGGTGGTATTTTATTTGAATTTTTTATAATACTAAGAAAAACATATTAAAATATTGAAATAAATTTAAGTCTTTTTATGCGAGTATACAGATAGTCTTAATATTATTACATCATTTTTGCTTTCAAACTCTTTTCATTTCAAAAATGTAATTTTAAACTAGTTCATTTATGACTCCACATTATAATAACATTAAGACATTAAACATATAGTAATAAAAGATAAATATTTAAGTGACTTACCCCCGATTCCTAATCCCTATGCTAAACTAAAAGTATACCCAAAATTCCAGCCTGCATCCAAACGGCTGGCAAGGATCGCAGCTCGTACAAGCCGCTGGAGCAGATCGATGCCAAGTTGGCTGACAACGAGACACACAGTACAGGCAGTACTGGATCGGCGAACAGCAGCAGCAGCAGTAGCCTTTCCGGTGGCAACGCTATCACCAATGCCAGTTGCCAGGAGCAGTCCTCAAGCCTCCTGCCACCCGAGTATACCGGCGGCAACAGTGAAGCCTCAACGGCAGCAACAGCCGTCGGCACATCGTCAACAGCGGCGGCAGCGGGAGGACCTAGTGCAGCCACGGGATCCAAGAAATACAAGGGCCAACACAAAAAAGACAGCAGCAATGCGGATAATAATTCAGTGAAGTCCAACAGCAATAATATCAGCAAAGGGGTAAGTTAATATCAAAGACTAACCTGATATTAAGCAGGTTTCTAAATCGAATTACTAATCTTTAAACCAGGAATCCGAGCCAGTGCATCCATCGCTTGCCCAGGCCATTGTGGTGCTGGAGACGAAGGCGCTATGGGATCAGTTCCATGCTCAGGGCACCGAGATGATCATCACCAAGACGGGCCGCCGCATGTTTCCCACATTTCAGGTGAGGATCGGCGGTCTTGATCCCCATGCCACCTACATCTGTATGATGGACTTTGTGCCCATGGATGACAAACGCTATCGCTATGCTTTCCACAAGTGAGTTAGAGAAAAGTTACAAGAAATGGTTTTCGTTTTAGTTTTCCATATTTAATATATATTTAAATTTCTTGTATAATTTAAGCTCCTGCTGGGTGGTGGCCGGCAAAGCGGATCCCATTTCCCCACCCAGGATTCATGTGCATCCCGACTCACCTGCCGCCGGTTCCAATTGGATGAAGCAGATCGTGTCCTTCGACAAGCTGAAACTCACCAACAATCAGCTGGACGAAAATGGTCATGTAAGTTTCGGAAACTTCAAGAAAAAGAATCTTTAACTTAATAGCAGATATAGTATGTCATACCTAAATATATATCTTGTTAATTTTAACATTGAAATCATTTGATATTATATTAAATTTATCCTTTAATTATTTATTTGTTTATCGATTTATCTTGCCAAGGTATTTATTTATTATTTCCATTCGCTGTTTATTCGCTTTGGCCATGTTTTCTCAGTGTAATAAATTGGCTAAATGTCGTTTGAGTGTGTGTGTTTATAACACTTGGTTTTCCTCTTACAGATCATTCTGAACTCAATGCACCGCTATCAGCCGCGTTTCCATTTGGTGTACCTGCCACCGAAGAATGCCTCCTTGGATGAGAACGAGCACTCCAGTCACTTCCGCACTTTTATCTTTCCGGAGACGAGCTTTACGGCCGTAACTGCCTATCAGAATCAGCGGGTAAATAATACTAATATTTTGTTTTTAACAAATAATTTAAGTTCTCGTCTATTATTTCTTCACTAATTGCTTAATGCAATTCCCCTACGCATTCTTACCCTCCTAGTTTTCCCTTGGCATACCAAACGAGAGGCCGCGACCATTCTGTGCCATTTCGGCCTTATTGTTTATGTTTTTCCCATAATTTATAACAAACAGCGGCCAAAGCTCGGAAAACTCGGTGCCGCGACCCCATCCATTGCGAACCAAAACACCAGCACAAATATATTTGATTATATATAACAAAAACGCATGCCTATACGGGAAATTTTCGAAAAACCGACCCAGGAGATACTCTATTCAAGTTTTTCTTTTCCCAAAAAGAATGTTTAAAGAATGTAGTTTAATACTTTTACTAAAGTCTAGAAGCAAGATTAGTCTTTCTTCCAAAGAAAGATTTTTTATTTCTCAAATATGAACCGATTTACCTTTTAATAAGTTTATTTAAAAATGAAAAATTAATTAAATTCCGATAAAAATTAAAGTAAATTAGTTAATTATTACCATTCCAAGCGCAAGTTCATTGGAATTAATGTTTCTAAGAAGACCCACCTGGAAATATGGGAATTTAGGTGTCAAAGTCAATAGCTAAAAGCAAGCCGGTGGTTAGGACAAACAAATATTGAATTTCCACAAATTTGTTTGCACTTTCAGCTTGCAATAACGTAAGGCAAAGCCCTTGAAATTGTGATCCCTATCGGTTATATCATTTACAAGTTAAACGGAATGTCGAGGGACTCCACAGAACCCCCAATATTCGATAGACAATATCTTATCGTCAAGTTGGATGACAAACCGAAGCAACTCGAGGTGTTTATCCTCCTGGGTTCTCATATTTGTCTCGGGGTATAATTCATAATTCTGGCCAAGTGGAATGGGGAGTGGGGAGGTTCGGGTACATTGGCTATAAATATAGCCTAGACATGCTCGGAAAGTATTTAAATTATTTATGTGCTCAATGTGGGTGTTAACACTTTTTCCAACCCGCCCTCAAATTTATTGCAAATCATTTTCCCCAGTCTTGACGCTGTGCTGCTGCGCGCTGTTATGGAATTTCCAGTTGTAAACATTTTTCTCTAATTTGTTTGGGTATTTAATTTATTTGTTTTGGTTCCTCGGCATACTTATCATGCTTTTCCAGTTCAATAAAAATATTTTCCAACATTGCAGGTGACACAGCTGAAGATCTCCAGCAATCCATTCGCCAAAGGCTTTCGGGATGATGGCACCAATGATGTGTAAGTATAGTTAACATAATTTATACTTTTTATTATTATTTTTCACATAAATTCTTGGCATATTTCTGTTTCTTTTTGATTACGAAACAAATTTCTTTATGGTTTATTTGAAATATTTTTAATTTGCACACCAACTTGCTAGCTTTTTGTGCCAATTTTTGATGTTAAATTATTTGTCAGGGGAAATTTGCCAAAGGAATTTTATGTTGGCGTTGTCTAGGATTGTGAAACAAGATCCCGGAACATGTGTTTCAATTTGTTCTATATTTTCGACAGAGACAATTAAAAATATATATTATACAAGACTTTGAGGTTACTAAGCTAAAAGTTTAGTTAAGTTGGTTTAATTTAGAAAGAGAATGCAGCAAGAATCATTTTTGGTTAAATTACAAGTGATTAACGAAGTGACCCACATTTTCATTTTATATTTCTCAAGTCTTCAGTTGCTTTTTAAAATTCATTCACGGCTACCCATTCCCAAAGAACTTGAAATCCTAAAGGCCCAAGTGGAACTAGACATTCGGTCGACGGGTCCAAGACATTCCCGGAAAATATCCGAAAATCTTGAAATACCGAAACAATAACTCAAAAACAAAAGAACTTCAGAAATGTGGAACAGAAGCCGAAGATGTCGAGCTGCAAAATAGGGAAAATGGGAAAATGAAAATCGAAATGATGATGATTGTGCTGCTGCTGCTACTGATGGGAGGACGGACGGCTGACAGATGTGCCGGCGGCATAAACAATTTTTTCGGGGGCTTTTCATATTTGTCGAGCTGCAGCCCTCGACTTGGTAGCATAGTGTAAACAAATCAGCAGTACGCGATTTCCCATTTTGTTTACGACTATGCTTAAAGTTGTTTATCACTCAAACTACTTCAAATCAAATTTTTGAGTTTTTTGTTTCAAAACTTTCAAGCATTTCGGAGTGTTTAGCTTATGATTTTCTCCGTTCTAGTTTTCTACAATTTTTAACACTAATATTTATGATTATTTCTCAAACATTCCAAAGTGGTCTTTGAAGTTTAAAGTTAAGAAAAGTGTAGAAAATAACATTAATAATAATCTTTTTAATCTTGTACTTGCAGAACTTCCGCCGGTGGCAGTAGCATGTCCTCCATGAGCCATGAAAGTCAGGCTCGCATGAAGCAACAGCAACAGCAGCAGCAGCAACTGCAACAGCAGCAACAACAACAGCAACAACTCAAGGAGCGAACGGCGGCAAGTAGCAACTTTAGCTTGAGTTGCACCGACTTGGGCGTAGAGCAGCAGCAGCAGCAGCAGCAACAGCAACAACAGGGTGTTCTGCAACTGCCGGCCACGCCTTCCAGCAGTTCCACCTCCGGGAATTCCCCAGATCTATTGGGCTACCAGATGGAGCAGCAACTGCAACAGCAGCAACATCAGCACCAGCAACAGCAGCAGCAACACCCGTCCCAGCAGCAACACCTCCTCCAGCAGCAGCATCAGGCGAATCAGCAGCAATCGCTGCTCCAACAGAGTCAGAATCAATCTCAATATGGGAGCTATCATCATGCTTATCAGCCACAACCACAGCCACATCCACTGACACCACACTCCACCAGTTCCGCATCCCCGCCAGCATCAGCAGCGGGAGCAACTGCATCGGCAACGGCCACGGGAGCAGGACCAACATCGATCGGTTCGGGAGCAACACAAGTGATGACAGCTGCCAATATTTACTCGAGTATTGGTCAACCTTATGCCCAGGAGCAGAGTAATTTTGGTGCAATTTACCATCACAATGCGGCTGCTGCTGCAGCCGCCCACTATCACCATGGCCACGCCCATGGCCATGCCCACAGTCACGCCCACGGTCCATATGCCAGCGCCTATGATAAGCTCAAGGTGTCACGGCATGCGGCAGCTGCCGCCTACGGCATGGGGGCCACATATCCAAGCTTCTACGGATCGGCTGCTCATCACCAAATGATGCGACCCAACAGCTATATAGACCTGGTGCCACGCTAATGGAAAACTAATTGGAAAAGGATCAAGAATATGTAATAGAAATTTGGAAGTAAGAAGTTTTAAAGGTCAGCAAACCGATTTCATATCAAATATTCTCAAAAATTACCTTTGACTTGCCTGTAAAAAATATTTAATTTTTTAATATTCTAAATTTAGTTGATATCAGCAATTTTGTAATGCACCAAATATTCCTGCCAAAGCTATATATATATCTGAACACAAGAAATTGTTCTAAAGTCAAGAATTTATTCTCGAAAGTGAGGTAAAAAAAAAACTGGCCTGTAATTATCGTTTATGTTTTAGAGAAAATGTTATAAAAATTTTAAAGATCAAGAATTTAAATCAAGTTTAAGATATTTGCCTATTCCAAAAAGTAAATTAAGAATAATGCATAACTACATCCTTTTTAAATCACAAAATTGTCTAAGAATCTGAAGTGTAGAATAAAAAACTACTATTTAAAATAAGATCATGAATATTGTATGTCAATAGAGCCAATATTCTTGATTTTAGAATAATTTCGTCAGGATTCAGTGCAGGATTCAAGTATTAGCAGCCAGAAAACCAAAAATAAATGCAACAAGTATTAAAAGTATTTCTACAGTAAACAAATACTATAATGAATATATTTTTTTTCGTAGCCTAGTTCTTAACTTTATCGATTTGTGTGAAACAAGAAAAATGTTAGAAAAACATTTATTTGGTGTAATTTGTAGTGTAATTTAAACATACATTTTTTTTTGCCTAACATCTTAGTTACTTTGATTTTTTTGTAAATACAAGCACATATCCCGCTAAATATATATATATATATATTAAAAACTGAAACAGTTTAAAGTAATAAAAACAAGAAAAACTAAAAAGAAATCCCCAAAAAAGCATAACTTAACAAAGAAAAAAAAAGAAAGGAGCGGAATTTTATTTCAAAATGGACGAAGTCAATTGGGAAATGGAAATTGTGGAATTGCCACGAGGGAAAAACGATTTTCCATTTTCTATTTTGTTTATGCTATATAGCACTTTATCTCCATCTCTCTTGGGCGTACGTTTTTTGTTAAGTGCCCCGTCTTTTTCTAAACAAAATTGGTGCCGTTGTTTTAATTGAGATAAACCAACGAAAGAGCCGCGAGGAAAAGAGGCTGGAAAATGCGTTGAAAAATGGGGAAAATGGAGCTATGTAAAAAGGTAGAGAAAGTATATAAAAGAAGATGTGGAGTAGGAGTTGTTTGTCTGAAAATATATAAAGAACTTATGTAAGGATCTTAATTTAGATGTAGAGATCTTATACATATGTAAGTTATAACTTTTAAAAATAAATTTAAAACTGTAAAAATAATTAGAAAAATTAAAGTAAAGGGAACTTCTGAAAAATTCGATTATGAAGTTTGAGATAGTTTTTTGAAAAAGAGTTTTCAGGAAGTAGGAAATGGAGGAGTGCTAGACGATGCCACGAAAGAGAAAGAATGTTCTACAAAGGAAGCCATAAAATCGTATCTTCCATTTTTCTACTCTTTGATTTCCCAGCGACTTTTCTTTGTTATCATTCCGCGTCCATCGACCCTCAAAATGAGTTTTCCACACTCTGATAAGTTCTCCCCTCGACGATTGACAAGGCGAATGATTTTCGAACCAATGGTATATCGATTTCGGTATATATATGTATATATAGATATTCAAGAAGAATTGGAAGGCCATCGATCGATTCGGAATTGATTTTTATGCCAAATGGAGGATTTGAGGTAGCCATAGGCTGTCATGTGCCATAATTTAAAGGAGAAGATAAAAGGCCAGCAAAGAGTTGAGCATTTTTATGGTTATTTCGGTTTTAGTTTTTTACTTTTGTCATTATTCATTTACTCGAATAAATCCATCAAAATTTTTATTAGCTAGACAAACATGTTTAATTATAAAAGGCAAATCGTTTTCTTCAGTTGAAAGGCTTTCAAATTTCCTATATTTTTAAACCAACTTAACTAAAATACGAATATTTCATAAATATATAAGATTGGTACAAAATGAAAATAAATATTTACAAAACTCAAATCGTTTCCCATCTATTTACCTTTCAAAAGTTCATAATTAATCTAAGACTTATCGACACGTTTTCCTTGTAATTTGAATTCCTTTCCTTTAGGAGTGTGCACCCCCGTGCCACACTTAATGCATCACCGATACGTCCCGCTCCTATATCGGTACTATATAGTACCATATATCCCCCGACTCCGTTCAATCCGTCGGCGACACATCTGTTTGTTCTTGGGCGTTGTTTTTGTGGAAATTTTTATGCAAGTGATGAGAAATTTATGTTCTACTTGGTCGCTGCTCTAAGGCGAATTGCATGCCAATTTGTTCTTATTTATGGCTCCTCTCATAGGAGCAGTGCCAGAAGATATGGAATAAATACGGCGTTATTAAATTTTAGACACACACTCTCCTCCTGTCTCTTTGAAGATGCGGCCCTTTAGGGTACTTCCTACTGTCTAATAAGTTTATAAATATATATACATATATTTTTTTGTTAGTTCAGGGGCCAAAGTTCAATATGGCATACAATTAATCTAAAGAAAACCTCACATCGTGTCACCATTTCCGTGTGACTAATGAATGTCTCATTTGATGGCTTGTCACAAATTTTGTTCCGTTTCTTTTTTTTTTTGATTTTTGGGCGTGTGAAATTTAGTTTTGAGTTCCTCGCGCAGGTTAAACGTCAGCGACAGAGTGACGTTACTAATGATAAGGAGGCCATGTGTCGCATGCCCCGCTGATCGTTCCAACCGATTTACCTATGTAGATACTGTACTATATATAATATTTGGTGCCAAGGGAAGGAAATATGATTGATTTAAGATAGATTTAGATATTCTGAACAAAAAAACAAGATAATATATCATTTTAAAGTATATTTTATAACCTAAATGCCGGCCAATGTCATATTATTATACCCGTTACTCGTTTTAATTATTTTCATTGCCGATACAATCTCTTACCCTTTCTTAATTACTCAATGTAGTAACTTTATAGCATTAATCATAATATACATTAGTTAATATATGATATGATATGATGATTCACTATAAAGGTTTAAAGGAAATGAGTAAGAAATCAAGCTAATGCATCATCTAATGACTAACTAACACTGACAATCGATGGAATGTTAGGGTTGATATCCCCTTTACGGTGTCATGTAAAAAATGAAACCTATACAAGGCCAATCCATTGAATTCTCCTGCAAAATCAAGTGTTTAATATTTTTTCATAGCATTTTTCACTATCGCTGCGACACTTTGTGGGCCGATAAGTGGCATTTATATGACGTACAATATAGCCGATCCAACTTATATACAGTGCTATCATTATGTGGTGATAATGGCTAATGGATGGGGGTGTTTGTCCGAAACAAAAAAAAAAAAGGAAAAATGTTGGGGTGGAGACGCGGGACATTGGCCACTTGAAATGGCATGAAATATGGGTTGCCAGGGATCGGTTTGCTGCCACCGTAAATGGGATATATTTTGAATATTTATTGTTGCCCAGCGCTGTGGTAGGTCCACTCTAAGCACCCAAACACAAACACACACGCACGCACATCTGTGTCATTTTGTTGTAGGTGTGTATGCTGTCGCCTGTCGTTTCAATCACTCGCATGGTGTCGAATTGCTCACTTTTTTTTACTTGAGGCAACTTAGACACTCTAAAAAATCACTGTATATAGAAAATAGTATAATAATATATAAAACTACTTATAAATGAAATAATTCGTATAATATTAAATATTAGATGGTTATTCTGATTGTCTAATATGAGATATGCCTACCATATCTTCAATACATATTTTAATGAATAAATACATAATTTTTTCCAGTGCTGGGATAGCAAACTGAAACTGTTGTTCTTATCGACTGTGTGTTTGTTGTCGTATCTGGAATTTCGGCACAAGTTCGGGGCGCATCCGTGGCTAATCGCTTTGAAAGTGAAACCGTGTTTATGTTGTTCCTTTCGATTTTCCGCTCTACGAATTTTCTGCCTCACATTTCCTTCATTTCCCCCATTGTTATTGTTGTTGCTGACACTTGAGGCTTTGTTTATGTTTCAAAAGGATCGGATATACGTTGGGGATATTATAGGAGATAGTTACAAGGCCAGCTGATATCATAAAACTGATCAAATGTAAGTCTGGTTAATAGATATTAAAAATCAAACGTTTTCCAGTAAAAAATTTACTTATTCAGGATTATAAACTTCTTTTAAAATCTATTTCAGACTTATTTTTGTCAAGGTAATCGCAAATATTATAATACTTGCAGGATATCACCAATTCGACTATTTGACGTTAACTTTTTTTTTTCCTTTTCAAGTGGACAACCAACCCCGAAAAAACGAAATCAAGGATGATTGCTGGAGGATGCGGATGAGGAATGATTTGAGGAGGCGCAGAAGACACACGGGCTATCCCTTCTTGTGGGGACGCATGCGCGACTGTCGAGTGCAATTTTGACATATTGCTGACACGCCCACAAACAAATCTCTCGGCGGATCTGTCATTGCCCCATGGAATATACTGTCTCTGCCGAAACTCTTTTTTCATCTGGCGCACGTGCTGGAAAGTGCGGCCAACAACAATGTTGCTGTCGTTTTATGAAGCGTGAAAATTATGAAATAAGAATTGCATAAAACTTTAAGGATATGGAAGAAAATGATTAGCTGCATTAGACTTAAAACATTTGTGAAGATAAACTATGCAAATTACTAAGCCAAAAATGACACTTTTGTTGGTGAAAATTATATTTTGATGGGTTGTGACCAATTAATTTTACAAAATATAAAGTATTATGGGGAATTTAAGTAAAGGGCCTCGTCGATTCAGCGGAAATTGAGCGCATAATTCAGAAAAATGTCGTGCCATAAAAATTGTGTGTTGAAAGAGGAAGAAGAAGAGGATATAGCCGAAGGAGCCAAAAGGAGAGGATATATAGAGTCGCGGCGCACTTACCGAAATTAATGCCATCGATGACAACATAGCCAGAAACAATAAAAGGCAAAAGCCAAAAATAGATACGAAAAATTGAATGGAAAAATGGGAAAAGGGAAAATCTTGAATGGGGAATGGGAATGGGGAAAGGCAGTGTGGGGACAATGTTGCCGCTGGCTGCACAATTATTGCCAACTGCTAACAGATTTGTTGGAACCGAGAAATCGAGGGGCGAAACATTTGTTTGATAATGATAATGGCCATGTTGAAGGCCCACAAAAGATGCAATTGCACTCCAGAGAAATTGAGTCATTTCCACGCAGAATTATTGACACGTGGTGCATCGAGCTGCGGCTAAAATTGAACAATTTTAGAAATTAAACAGCAATTGCAAGTGCCATAACAATTTGAATTGCGCGCGTTCCGATGGCTTCAACGGCGTGTGGACTGCAACAGTCGATTAATGTGGAACGTAAATTAAATTGGTTGAATTTATCATCTGATGTTCGGTTTTTTAGCTCTAGCTCGGTCAAAACAAGACAAATAGCTAAAACAATGACTGTTTTTTGCAGCTAACTACCAAAGCTTAACACCCCTATACTTGCTTTTATCATTATTGTTCTGATTTCTTAGTGCGAGCTCTGTTTTAAGGGCTGAAAACCCGATTTTTAAGCAATATTTTCGGTTTTTTAGCTCTAGCTCGGTCAAAACAAGACGCACAGCCAAAGGGAACGACTGTTTTTTGCAGCTAACTACCAAAACATAACACCCCTATACTTGCTTTTATCATTATTGTTCTGATTTCTTGGTGCGAGCTCTGTTT